GATCTAAGTGCTAGAGCCCACTGCAACTACATAGCCAAAAAGGCATTAAGAGTTGTTAACCTAATCCTACGTAGCTTTTTCTCTGGTAATATCACACTACTAACCAGAGCATACAAAACATTTGCTAGACCAATACTCGAATACAGTTCATCAGTCTGGAACCCATATTACATATCTGATATTAGCACAATTGAGAAAGTCCAGAAATATTTCACAAGAAGAGTTCTCCACTCCTCTACTCATTGTAGAATACCTTATGCCACCAGACTTGAAATTCTAGAACTAGAAAACCTTGAATTACGCCGTCTTTGGTCTGATTTAAGCATGGTATATAAAATCATACATTGCAATGTCCTACCTGTCAATGAATACTTCAGCTTCAACCATAACAACACAAGAGCACACAATAGATACAAACTCAAAGTTAACCGCACCAAACTTGATTGCAGGAAATACGACTTCAGCAATAGAGTGGTCAATGTCTGGAATACTCTACCCGACTCTGTAGTTTCTTCCCCAAACCCCAAAAACTTTAACCTTAGACTGTCTACTATTGACCTCACCCCTTTCCTAAGAGGTCTGTAAGGGGCGTGCATAAGCGCACCAACGTGCCTACCGTCCCTGTCCTATTGTTTCTTATTCTTCTTTTATTTTTCTTATATGTACCCATTTCATGTATTCATAACTATGTATACACTTATACTTATTATCTTGTAAACAATTGGCAAATAAAATAAATAAAATAAATAAATAAATAAATAAATTGCTCAAAAGCCCTTTTCAGTGCATCATCACCCAGCAAGGCTCAACCAAGCCTGGAGCTCAGGACAGCCTACAGAGTTGCCCCTGCATGGCCCCATGGGAGTCTGACAACCAATCAGAATACAAGCTCCAATTCAAATCCCAACAAAGGTTATAAAACCCAGCCACTCTCAGCATATCAGCCGTTCTTGATCTCTTCCTTCACCTTGAAGCATGTGATCATCCTTCCTTTTCACTCTGGAGCTCCAGGCCATGTGGTCCTGTCCACCATTAAACCTTCCAAACAGCCTCCATGTTTCCAGTGTCTTTTTCCCCACTTGGAACTGAACTCAGAAGGATAATTCTTCCAACACTATAAAAAGAGTTTTCCCCCCTCTCCCTTGTGAGAATGTAAATTATTTTAAAAGGATTTCAACCAAAACTGTGGTGAGGTCAAAATACCATTTATATCCCAAATGTAGTTAGCCCAGATGGCCAAGTAAATTAGGAGCTCCTTTAAACAATAACTTACTGTACTGCATGTCAAAATTATTTCCTTTACTTCAGAATTTTAAAATTCATCCATCTGTACTGGCATATTTAATCATCTTTACATTTTCAAAACTATTAAGAACTAATGAACCACATATGTCTAAGTAACTTGGGCTCTCTAATGAAGTATATTTTTATTGGGAAGGGTGTCTATTTTTTTAAGTTAAGAAACTTGCACTCTTAATTCATCTAAAAGCCAGCTTTGACCTTATCTTAATTTCCAGAAATACATGGGCTGGATCACATACTGCAATAAGATATTGTCCAGTAACTAGGGTTTATTGAAAATTTATTGCTACCACAATGAACTGGATTCAAACATGTTAATCTAAAATCAAATGATATCATAGCTTAGTAAGATTGAATAAATATCTTTTAGTGACAAATCAGATGTATAAATTATCTGTGGCTGAAATACAGAAGAGTTTAGTCAAAAATGGTGTCTATGTATATATGCCACATGTTGCAATGATCAACGATTTATTTTATCGATCTATGATATGTAAATTCATTCATAGGAAAAGGATATTTTGTGTACTTTTGGGTCTACTGCAGATGGTGAGCTCTTTTAATTGGAACAAGACAGATATTGGACATCTGGTTCTTACAATTAAAAAAAATGCATTCCTTTTAAGAATTTTTCAAAAATCAACACGGGTAGGAAATCATACAGGTAATAATTGAAGCACAAAGATGAACCAAGGATTGCATGCACAGTCAGCAGAGGGCTGTAGAAGGCAGGAGGCCAATTGAAGCTATATTGTTCTGCAAAGCTTTGAAATGTTTATGCAGCCTGTCACCATTTCAAAGTTTAAAAAAAAGGGAGACCAAAAAGAAAAAAACAAAGATGACTAAGAGTTAGATCATGAAGCACAAGAAATGCAATTAAAGACTGTTCATTTTTACAGAAAACAAATAGACATGGATGACATGACAGCAGTTCCAAATATCTAAAGGAAAAGGAACAAATTGTTTACTTGGAGAAATTGAGTGAATTGCCAAGATTTGCAGCTCAGTATCAGATCATTTACTTCGTGATAGAGGAGTTAAACACGCTTCTTGTTCTGTATGTTATGTTACAATATAAGAATCAGTTACTGATGTAGTCTTAAGGTGTACGATACATTTATGTATGCATTTACTCAATTGCAACTTTGCATCTTCAATGCATTTCCTCCAATGGTAACTGTACAGATGACAACTGTCTTAAAAGGATATTGAATGATGTCTCTTTTGGAAAGGCTTAAAGAAGCTTAGGCCAGTTTCTAGGTCATTCTAAAGCTTTAAGATAGATTCAGCAGGCCTGTGTGTGCACTGGCTCCACCACTGCCTATAAATTTGGTACCTCAGCATAGTTTATGGGTAAATGCAACAGTCTGGCTTTTGTCTATCTAGTCCTAGAGGAAGCCAGGAAGTACAACTTTTAATAAAATATTGTTTTATTCTGGTTTTATTTGGCAATTACACATTTCTACCTCAACTTCTCTAGGGTGCAAAATAACATTTATGCTTCCATTCTCCTTTTATTCACACAACAGCAGTGTAGACAACTTCATCTGTTAGTGAGACTTACATACTTTCATAATACAGTGGATTGAATTTGGTTATCCCCAATTCTAGGCTGCCCCTTTAAACCCTACATCTATTGACTTTTAAAAGCAAGGACAAGCATCTTCTCTAGTTACACTTTCACATGAGCTGGATAAACAATGTTTGGTTAAAGCATAGTTTGTTGGCTTTGGCTTAATGTGTTGTATGTACCCAGCCATCATGATCTATGAACGTATGTATTTTGGTTTAGAATGTTGTAGTCCATCTGATTTAATCTGTACCTTATAAACCATGGCTTAGTGATTTGTGGACATTGCTCTGACTAAGGGCTAGCATATGACTGCTTTTTATCTTTCTTTTTTTAAGGGCATCAATGTTCTCAAGATACATTGAGAAAGTCCTAGGCTGTCTCAGTTCAAGATATCTGTTGATCTGGAGGATCTTTCCTTGAGTCTCTGCATTATGCCTATTACCATCTTACTTTCTGTTTATTTTATTCTTTATTGTTTTTCTGTCCTTATGTGAGCGCTTGTGTGACAATGATTATTTATGGTTGTTTTGAGCCTCATTGTGGTTATTTTCAGTTTAGTTTATACAGTCTGTAAGCTACTCAGAATAATTATATTAAGGAGAGAGGGAAATAAATTACTCCTATCCTATAACTCAGGGGTGTCAAACTCACATCGTCACGGCGGCATGTGATGCATCACAACTTTTCCCCCCTTCGCTAAATCAGGCATGGGCATGGCCAGTGCGTGATGCATCTAGCCCATGGGATGCGAGTGTGACAGTGCTGCTCTAATCTGCCGTTTCTCAAGCTTGGCAACTTTAAGATGGATGAATTGGGAGTTGAAGTCTACTTAGCAAAGTTGTGAAGCAGAGAAGCACTTGCTCTGAAGCAAAACTGTTAATAGCAACTCTTCCACCCTCATTTTCAAGCCAAGGAGCATTTTACCTAATAGGGCTAGCAGAGGCAGGTAGCAACTGTCCAAGATGACCATTAAATGGCTGCAGAAAATTAGAGGTGTGCTAAATCACATTGCTGCCAGCTGGATTTATGCATTTCAGGTCTATTGTGTTAATCTAGTCTGCTCGGCAACAAAAATCATTTGATGCCACCTTCTTTCAGAAGTATTTTTCAAATTTCCTAAGCTATAGCACTGAGATTTTCTAAAGGACTCTCATTTAAACACTAGCCAGAGTTGATCCTGATTAGCCAAAGTCACCTAAGTGCAGCCACCTGCTGTGACCTGATAGATTAGGGCTTACCTATGAGAGGAAGACTCTGAGTGGCCTTGTAAAAAATATTTCTTATATTAATCTTGCTTTTCAATCAGATGGTACAATACACCCAAATGTTTGATGTGGACTGTTGTTTTATGTCAGACTACCACTAGTAAAGCTATTCTTATTCTGTAGGAAGGCAGACCTACAGGCAAAGTAGCTGGAAATTCAATTGCCTGGTTTCATCACAGAATTATTCCCAGCCAAGTAGCAATAGCACCTTAGCAATAGCATTAGACTTATATACCGCTTTACAGTGCTTTACAGCCCTCTCTAAGCCATTTACAGAGTCAGCATATTGACTCCCCAACAATCTGCGTCCTCTTTTACCGACCTCGGAAGGATGGAAGGCTGAGTCAACCTTGTGCATGTCGAGAATCGAACTGCCAAATTGCAGACAGCTGCAGTCAGCAGAAGTAGCTAGAAAAGGCAATAGAAGACTGAGAGTGGAGATTTTATTAATAGACGACTGCAAGGGAGAAAAAAACTCTGCATATGGTCAGAAATACAAAACCCAGCAGAGGAAACTTCAGGCAAATGAAAAAGAGAAGAAAAAATAACAAATCTCAGCCTCTCGCTTCAGAAGTTTCCCTTGAATGACTTTGGTCTGGGCGGAGCAGTGATCGTAATGATCATTCCTGATTGATCCATTGAATAAATCACTTAATGTAGGATGCAACAATATAGACAAATCAAAGCTGGAATAACCAGCATAAAAGTCACTCCAGGACCCAAAAAAAAAAAAAAAGCCTTTGTTTTCCGCTCCTGTTTCCAACATCCCGCCTCGCCTGCGGCAATTGGTCCTTCCCATGATTGACATGCGACGTCACCGTCGGGCTCTTCATCCGGAGACGTTTGACTGGAGCCCCCTTCTGCGCCGCCGGGCTATTTACGTATATTAATCGGCTTGGCCCGGAAACCGGAAGTGGCGTGGTTTCGGGAGACCAAGTTGCAGGAAGAAGTTCGCAAGAAGTCAGGTCGGCGGGGCGGGGGCGCGAGGTGGAGGGGCGTGCTTGTGCGGGCGCGGGGTTGGAGCTCGAGGAAGCTGCTGATGAGGGGGAAAAGTTAGAGACCTGGTAGGATCAGGCAAGCAGAGGGATAGGGAAGAAGGGGAGGAGGTGTCCCAGTCTGGTTTGGAAAAGCGTACGACCCAGAGCAGCTTGCCAGAGAATTCGATATTTTTTTAGTGATCATGCTTTCCTTCCAGACTGGCATTGGAAAATGCTGTGGGAGGAGGGCATGGTTCCTGTTTTGAATATGTCCAGGGCGTTTAATATTCTGTGCATTGAATTGCACTATGAAAGAGGGCTGGAGGCTTGGCTTTTCTTGATTTCCAGTCGCATGGTTTTGTATCTCGGTTAGAAGATGGTGGGATCAGCTGGCAAAGGTGCTGCACTTCTGGTGCCCACTCTGTGCAGTTTAGGTCCGGCTTGTTACTTAGAAATGGAAATTACTGGATTCAGATTAGAGAGTAGCATATGCGTGTGTGTATTGGGGGGGAGGGTAAAAGTGAGGTTAAACTTTTGGGGGGGCGGGAAATCTTGAATTATGTCTCTGTTAAATAAACAATTAATTGGTAAGGGCCACTCTTTAAATGATAAAACTGCCAAATTTTAAATTCCTGGTATCTCCAGTACTGCACAATAAAGAACATGGTTTGGAAATGTCTTGTATGAGACTGCAAAAAAACTAATGGCATTTAGAGCAGTGGGTTGCTCCAGCATGATCTGACTGAAGGCAACTTGCTTGCCAGTGGTTAACTAAAGCATGGTCTTCTCAATGATCTCTTTTCTGATTTTGCACAACATAATTTAATAATGTACTTACAGTATAGTTGGTATTGCATAGGCTTTGCTAAATAGGGATAAGTGTGGTACAGGTATCTTGCAAATAAAACCAATCTAGTTCTTTTCAGTTTAATATTTTTCTTGAAAATAGTTGCAGTTAGTGATAATTTCCTGTCAGATACACAGAAGTAAAATAGAGTTAATTTGTTCTTTGGTTAACTTTTTGCCATTTGATGTTGAGTTCATTTATCACATTAATAGTGCCACATGTAAAATAATTAGACTTTTTTTCAATATTGAAATATGTATAGATCATTTTATCATTTAACCTGCCCCCAAATTATGCCTTGAAATAGATAAATATTCTTATAGGGTTTTCTGGATGAAACAAAAAAAAAATGGTAAATGTTTACCATTAAAAATCAGTTGTTACAAAATTCTCCATCTCTTTTTTTAAAGAAATATGTTTCTATCTTTCTTTAATGATACTGAGAAAGTTACTGCCTTGTGTAATTTCTTTGTCTTGCATTGCAGGTTCGGCATGGAGTCTGAAGATGCTGTTGCTCCTGAAAAATTAATTGAGGATTTGAATCTCTCAGAAAAACAGAGCAGTCCTACACATCATGCATATATCCCCAGAGTCGTTGAAGAAGGTGTGAGTCAGTTGTCTGACTTGGGTAGAGAGGATGATGATCTCTTCCATGACTGCAAAGACTCTCTTGAATCAAGAGTGGTGGAAGAGAATCACAACATTGAGACAGATTCTTTAGAAAATGAGATGGATCTAGATGAAAAAGAATTGCTGGAACTGGAAAAAAACATGTCAGAGGAAGAAAAAGAGGTATGTTTTAAAGGTGCAAATATTTTTTTAAAAATACTAGTGAATAGCTGTTTACTATTACTGTGACTATATACTTGCTTGGAAATAATTGCAGTTTGCAACAAAAATGTTTCTGTATTTCTATTTGGAATGCTAATATCTAGGCTGTTAAACATTCCTTGTTCAGTACAGTTTTTCTTTCAAAATGAATTTTTAATAGAATTTGCAGCCTATTTTCATATTTATTCAGAATAGTTCCCATAGAGCTTCATGGAATCTGCTTCTTAGTTAATTTGTAAAGACATTAAATATTTTAATATGTGGCATTTTGGGGATAAATACTGGATCAGCACTCTGTCGTCTCTTCTCCCTTTCTTTCTGGTTCGTACGTAATTATTTCGGATCCTGTTGTGTATAATTGCAAGCTTTGTCATTATTTTTTCATAAGTTTAAGTGTCCTGTATCATGGTTGTTTTTTTCTTATCACAATCTTTATTAGTTTTGCTTGCCTTCTGTATATTTCAGTTCCATATATTACATTTTGCTTGTCATTCTCTAAATCTGAAATGGGCAGTGTGCAGAGCTGAATACAGTCTGTGTTTTTCTTGGATTTCAAATGTAAGAAATCCAAGTCTCATGGACTTTTAAAAATGAGCTGGATGAAATAATATGAAATGATATTGGTGGTTGGATTCATTGTACTAGTCCATTGTACAGAAGACTGCTTTTGAAGTGAGAATAGCCTCATTGAAGTGCTAACCATAATGCTTTCAAGTAATAGGACCTGTTTGCAGCTTAATTTTCTAGATTCATGTTTTTTTAAGCTTTGTTTAGCTTTAAGAATGTCCATACATATAGTATATAAGCATTTTGTTGCAGTCTGTTTCTCATTTAACAGAAGCAGCAATATTATTGTCTTACAGTTTTAAATTCCCACGCTGATGAGAGATTATTTTCTATTTTTTATTTAATGAAATCCAGTTTCTAAGAATTAAAGCATAGATGAAGCATTGTTTAAAGTTCTTGCCTGCAAATAGAATTGAACTACTTATGTGCAGAGAGCTAATTTTCCATGTGAGGAAAAAGAATGTGTGATTCAGCAAAATATGTACATAAGCTTGGAATTTTCCATTTAAGCTTGTCCAGTCAGCTTACAACTTATATCTGAAGAGGCTAAAGATACGCATGAAATATTTACACAATAAAAACCTTGTAGAGATTTGCTTTGTCTAATCTTTTTGTTACTGAGAAGTTAGGCAAATGTTGAAACTGACTGTTGAATCTGCTATTTCCTGAACTGATAATCTCCATCTTCCTTCCAGATATATTAGCTATGTTAGGTGGAAATGATATGAATTGTAGTTTAGTATGTTTGAAATGAAAGATTATTCTGGGGTTTATTCAATTTGTATTAATTCTGAATTAATATAAAAATGGGAGAAATAATACTGTATTACTGAACAAAACTCCATTTTTTACCCTTTGAATATCTTCCTTGACTCTTAAATTTTGACCCTCTCGATATGTACTTTAGTTTAATTTTCATTAATTGGATACTGTATTGTTTGAGGGTGGAATTAAATATTTTTGCTGTTGAGCTTCTAAAAGGAAACATTGATATAGCTTGCAGTATTGATATAGTTTGCAGCATTGTTAAAATTAATGTACTTGGAAATTCAAATGTAGAAATGTGGAAAGTTAGTGTAATTTAATGCATTTGAAGCAGTCTATTTTTAAAATTAAAATCAGCCTAACTATTTGATGTTATAGATGATTATCAATATTTTGATAGCAGTGTTAGATGTGGGTTGTCTTACTGTGCTCTATTAAAACAGGACCCAAGGTATATATTAGTTATATCCATGGTACAGGAATAGACTGTTGCCTTGAAACCACTTGAGTTCTTGTGATGTCATAACACCTGATCAAGGAAACAAATTTGCAACATAGCCAATATTATTAAGGACTGGAGTCTGGCAATCATGGATGTAAGGAGAAAAGGACCCTGGGAGGATTGTGTGCTAGAGAGAAATTGGGATAGAGAATACGTTTAGATTAATTAGAACTAAGCTATAAAAAGAGTGAGGGGATGAGGAGGTGAAGGGAAGTGGAACTGAGAAGCTAGGTCTTGTGAAAAATTGAGAAACAAAGGTACACACAGTGGGGACTATACAACTTCCAGTCTTCCAACCTCTTTTCCAGTTTAGCTATTGATTAAGTGGTGGTTTCATAAATTATTCATGTAATTTTTATCAAGAGTTGGAGACTGAGAAGTACTTGAGACTGGTAGCAAATAACATTTGTTTTTGTACAAACGTTGATTGACTGCTATTCACAGAGCTAGAAGTGAGATAGGAATACTAAAAATTGTTTTTTTAAAACTTGTTTATATGTATGAAGTCATATTTTAGGTTGTGGCTAGATTTTGTAGTTAAGGGTTGGAGTTGCATGACTAAATCCACAATATGGGGGTGACTCAGGGCTTGTGTGTGTCATCCCTTCTTTTTAATATTTACTCGAGATATATGGAAGAGTAATCCAACAGTGCAAGGTGTGGTATTAATATGCCGATGATACTCAGTTACACATTTCTACCCCTGGCTGGCCAAGCAACACTGTCCCCCAATGCTGGCCCACTGCCCTGGGGGTTGTAAGGGTTTGAATGAGCCAGCCCAGGGTTCCACAGTTTTTAGTTTATGGTTTTGATTCTTTTGTTATTTTTACTGTTTATTGTGGCTTATAAAATCTTATTTACAAACCTTTATAAAGTCTTATAAAATAAAAGTGCTTTTCATATGAGCAGTAGTATCTATTATGTACAAAATTATCTATCTTTAGGCTTGGGAACTAGCCTGAATTGTGTCTGGACAATTCGTATTATTAGATACCAGTTGGTTCTTAAATTTTTTAAAACATTAATATGGTTATAGTTTACCTCTAGATATCACTAGTAAATTATTCATTTCCAGACTTTTAAGTAATAAAATCTGGTAGTAGTACCAGTTAGGAGATGCCATCTAAATTTTTGAAGTATGCTTCCTATGAATTTTAAAAAATAACCATAAAGAAGGGAGGTAAGATATTAGTAAAAAACTTGGTAGTGTTTGCTATATGTCATGGAAATTTTATTTTAATTTCAGACAGTGCTATCAAATGTTAATTATTGTATTCAAACATTTCTGTTTTAGAAAAGAAGAAATGAAAGCACAACATTAAAAGAAGAAGGAAATAAACAGTTTAAAAATGGAGGTAAGCAAATGGCTTATGATAATACTCAAACTTTTATTAGTGTTTGGGCCTCCAAATGCTGCCTAAAGACAGATTCTAAGGTGTGCAGAATAATTCTTCCAGAATATCTATCCCAGTCAGTATGGCCCATAAGAATCCAACAGATCTGGACATCTGGTAGTACAAGACTACATAGTAATTAAGGAAATCCTCAAAGAATTTATCTAGTCTTATTTTTAACTAGCTATCTTTGGGCTATATAGAATTCATTTCAATATAAGATTTTACCATAGTATTTAGAAATTACCTTAAGGCTCTGTAACTTAAGGATGTAGGGTTAAGGACGCTTTATCGGTTTCAAACTTGCCACATTAATCCAGTGCAATTTTGGCTTGGAGGTGGGAGGTGATAGAGGATGATAATAATTTTCCTCCTGTTATGTTGATGAAAAACATCCTATGTTGGAAAAAAGCTACAAGGTTGCTTGCATTTAGATGTTAGGATTGTTAGATTCAATGAGAGCCACGTCTTGGTAGAGATAAACTTGAATTTTTTTGCCAGCTGTTAACACTTACAGGTTTCCTGGGCATAATCTTTCAGTGATGGTTCCAAGTTTTTGTCTTAAAATGGTTGAAAAATATCCTTTGTGCATCGGGACCTGGGTTTATGTTGATTGGCAATTTGCTATAACTAAGGTGATTCTGAAAAGAAAGCATATTGTTATTGGATTTTCTCCTAGTTGCTTTTCCCAGTCTAGGTAGTCCTTGACTTACAACCATAAACGGGACTGGACTTTCTGTTGCTAAGCAATGTCATAAAGTGAGACGTCATGTGGCTGCATCCATTAGTGACTGTTGCCATTGTTAACCAAGAATCATGGGTTGCTGAGTGAGTGCCCATCCAAATCCAAACCCTTCTGGGCTTGGTTCCTCCCAGCCTCAAGCCTAAGTAAGATAAGGGAGTGTCTCCAGCTCCCCCAAGCTGCCTGTCTGACACCCATCTCTGCCCATTGGCATCTGCAAGCCTCAGCACCCCAGCCTGCCCTAGCAAGGTGGCACTAAGCTGCAGTGCCCAGGAAGCCCCAACAAACCTCATCAAGCGTTCATTTGCCCAATTGCCACCTTTCCCAGCTCCCCACACTGACCTTTTGCCTTTTTGCGCCCAGCTGTGGTGACTGAAGAGCCTTATTTCACTGCTTTTGCTGTCTTTCAAGAGAGCCTGTGGACATTTCTGGTGCACATTCTGCACATTGAAAGCTGCTGGTTGTTGTTTGGGCTGTCTTCTTCCTCCTACAAAAGCACTTCTGCAAATCCCTCCAAGGGCACTTCTGCAGTACATGTTGGAAGCTGCTAACCATTTGTGAGGTTTTCTCCTTCCTCCGGCAAAGTGCTGTGCAGGAGGAATGTTTTGCAGAAAGAAGAAGACAAATGGTCAATGGCATGCATTGCAAAGTGTACCAAAAACGCCCCTGGAGAGTTTTGTAGGAGTGCTTTGCAAAAAGACAGTTGGAGGGAGGAGGAAGAAGAAAGCCTCATGAATGATCAACAGCTTCCAACATGCTCTGCGGAGTGTGTGCTTTTTGACCTTACAACCATTGGCCTTCCTTTGGCTTCCATTGGCTGAAGGCCTCTGCCCTTGGCAGAACAATTAATTGGCTCTTCACAAATATCTCAACACAGGTACTTGTGGGTTATGCTGAGTTAACTATCTTAATCTAGGAATTAATACAGCACAGGCGATTCTACATAAATATCATGTTCTGGAACTGAGAGAGTCAAAAAAAGAAATCTCTCTTCTACCTGAGGAAAATGGAAAAAGGGCAGCAGTGTCATCATTTCCTTTATCTTCACTGGAACCTTGAATTCTTCTGTAGCCAATCGTATGTCCAGTCTGGATTTTAGTGTTTCTGGATTCTTCAATACCTAAGTCTACTGAACTTTTTCAAATTAGGTTCAACTTCAAAAATGAAGTCTAAGAATTGGCAGATTCTTGGCATTAAAAGTGCTTGGTTTTTAGACCTTATTGCTCCTATGACTGCTCTTATAACATGGCCATAGTGGCATCAAGGCCTCTGTTCTTTGTTTGGAAGATCCTTGGAGTCTTTATCATATGTCTCCTGCTCTTGATCTTGTATAATATTAGTTTATGATATAATCTTTCATATTCTTGAGAACAGGTTAAATACCTTATGAATTACAGGGATATTAGTTGATAGGGTGGTCAGTTCTTTCCCAGAAGATAATGGATAATGCATTCTTCCTATCTACTGTAAATTTTCTTTCTTTGTCTTTGATTTTTGCCATCCATATATAGAATAAATAGTTAGTTTCTGATGCTCTCACTATGGCCATGCCATTGGACATTTTTAAGGAGCTATCCTATAAGTTGTTGCTTATATTTTAATTAATTAGCAGTAGATATTGTGATAAAAAACAAGAGTTTTCAGTTATTAATCTCAATTTTTATGATCTACAAATAATTTTTATTTATGCATTTGCATCCCACCTTTTTTATTTTTATAAGTAACTCAAATTGGCTCAATACACAATATTCCTTCCTCCTCCTATTTTCCTCACAGCAACAACCCTATGAGGTGGATTGGGCTAAGAGTGATTGGCTGAAAGTCACCCAGACGGTGTTCCATACCTAAGGCAGGACTAGGAATCACAACCTCCCAGTTTCTAGTCTAGTGCCTTAACCATTAGACATATGTTAATATATGTATTGAATATATGTATAGTGTGCATTTGTATAGAAATACAGAAGTATAGTAAACTGCTTCTAAAGAAATACAAGGCTATTCCACTTCCACCCAAGTAGAATATATTTTATCCTCCCTTACATAATATATCTTCCTATGCACCTTTCTTATAGAACCAAGGTCACTGCAAAAATATGAATGTGAGAAAACAAGTTTATTGTTCATTTATTGATTTGGAGAGAGAGTAAGATAAATAGGCTTGAACTTTGGAATGCTTTCACAAATAATGGGAGTTGAGGGTCAGTTGTTGAATGCTGTAGATGGAAGCAAAACACACATGAGAATAAAGGTTTGCCATATAGTTTATTTGAAGGGAGCTAAGATTATATATTTTCCCCTTGGTTGTTTATGTGTTTATGGCTGAATAAGGAATGCTTGTGGGAACAATGAGCTGTGTTGGCTGGGAATACAAATATGCATGCATTTTTGTATACAGACAATGCTGAATTGTTGGCTAAGAAACCAACTTCTTTTGTAACAAATGTTGATTGATTCTATTAATCAAGAGGAATATGGTCCTCAAAATTAATGTATCAAAAAGTAAGATAATGGCTTGCTGAACAAAATTGGGTGAAAAAATGGCTAATTGTACATAAATGGGAGAAAATGATAACATTTTTCATACATTGATACACTTCTTACTAAAGGTAGGATAATGGATGGAGAAATGTTCAAATGATGGTAGGCAGTGGATGGTAGGTAGCCTGTTGTAAGAAATTAACGTTTGCCAAAGGAAGCAAGAGTTGGCAAGTATGTCAGGAAAATGCACAGAATGCAGTGAGAGTTGAATACTGAAAAACTATGTGATAAAACAAAAAGTGAGTGTCAAGCATTAATGATGTGAATGAATGTGGATTGAACATAAAAGTGTTAGGTGTTTTGAAAGAATTAATAAAATTAAATAACGCAGGGGTCAAGAGCTAGGGAAGGATCACAAAAATTGCAGTTAGATGGAGTTAATGAGATCCTGAAAAAGAGAAAAGTGGGAAATTTAAACAATAAAAATCAATGGGTAACACAGTATATGGACATAATGGAAGCAAGGCCTGATTGCAGGAATAAAAGATGACAGGTTAGTGAATGGTGTTGAAGTAAATTAGATTTGGCTGTATTTCCTTTTTTCTTCTTGCCTTGAGTCAATTTCTTTGATTTATTCTTTCTTACTCTTTTTTTCTGCACCTACTTGCTTGTCCCCTCCCCCATAATGTGTGTGTGTGTGTGTGTGTGTGTGTGTGAGAGAGAGAGAGAGAGAGAGAGAGAGGGAGGGAGGGAGAGAGAGAGAGAGAGAGAGAGAGAGAACAGCAAAGCTAGTCTGAAATAACAAACCAAGGAAATACAGTACTTGATGGTTTCAAATTGTTCACATCCTATTTTGGTTCTTGAGTGGTGCTGTTTTGGTTATATAAGAATTGGCCCTTTGTAAATGAATCTGTTACTATGGTTGCCCACAATTTTTTTCCTGGTCTTGGTACTTTTTAAAATGTGTGCTTGGCATAATTATGGGAATGATAGACTCTCATGAAGAAAGTCTATTTATGTGGTTGCTAGGAGTCAGAAATGACTTCATGGCATATAATCAATCATAATAATAACTGTGAACCATCTTTGAGAGCAGTGGCTGTCACAGTGTTGCTTGGGGACCGATGAAATCAAATCAGGGTTTTCATATTTCTCAGTTTTAATTTCTAATATAATACATATTAATAGATATAGCTCACATAAAGTAAAGCTCTTTGGGATCCTCAAACATTTTGAAGAATGTAATGTCTCCTGAGAATCACCATTTGAGAACCACTGGTGTAAAGGCAAGAATAGGATTTTATTGACATTATACTTTATGAAAGCCTGGTGCGTTAGAGGGAGCTTTTAGAAAGTACAGGTAGTTCTTGATATATGACCATACATTTAGTGACAGCTTGCAGTTACAAAGGTTCTAAAAAATGAGTTTTGTACAATCCTTGCACTTATGGCAGTTGCAGCCTCCTGCAGTCATGTGCAACCTTCCCAGGTGGCTTCTAACAAGCAAGATCAAGGCAGGAGCTGCTCACATGACATCTTACTTTACGACCTCACCACTTACAGAGGAATTTTCCAGTCCCTTTTGTGGTTGTAAGTAGAGGACTACCTGTATCTTTGTTTATAATCCATTCATGTATCCATTTATGTATACCCGTTAAACATAGGAACTTGAGATATTGATTCATAAGCACTTAATGAAAATCTTATTTAAGGTATTCCAAAAGACTGCAGAAAAAGCTCTGTGAGTGATAGTTGGGTTTTGAAAGAAAAAACAAAGCACAAGCTTCAAATACACATTAACATTGCACATCTTTATGATTCTTATGATTCTTGATGAGTTTTATTTTTTCTTTTATGCACCAAAGACAAACTCCTTGGGTGTCCAATCACCATTGGCTAATAAAGTATTCTATTCTATTATTCTTATTCTATTCAACCGAGAATGATACTGTATCAGAGGAATTCTACATAAACATAACAGATGTGATAAACAGCAAGGTAACAAAATCCGTTGAAAGTGTTTGCCATAAAACAAGAGCCTAAATAGAAAAGCATCTCGGCAATGTTTCTTGGCATATTTTGTAACAAAGGTAGAAGAAAGTAGTAAAGGCAATAATAATTTCTGAAAAGAAATAAGGAGAAAAAAATCAATTCCAAGAATTGGGAAGACTCTTTAGGAAGGAGTGATGTTGGGTGTATTTTTCAGGAAGGTTTTCAGGTGTTCTTCTCCGGAAGACTACTTTATCAGAAGACTATCTGCTTCTGTTTAGATTTGCAGAGTTCAGTTTCCTGGATGTTTTGCTTAGATAAAGGTAGAAATTCAGTCTTGGAGACCACATGATTCTTCACAACAGTATTGTTGCTAGTTGCGAAGTTATGTCCGACCCATTGTGACACCATGGACAACATTCCTCCAGGCCAGACAACAGTATTGGAAATAATTTGCTCTTGTTTTCCTTCTGGATGCTTTTTAAATTACTCAGACTAATTTTCAGCTCTGGGATTTGGGGATGGTACCTCTGCAAATACTAATTAGGCCTGGCTCGGTTTAGCTGCTAAGCCCACACTAGTCTAGCCAGTTGCTGAAACATGCTGTATTTACCACCTTAAAAATTAGTGTTCTTGCATATTAGTGTCTACCTGAGTTTTTTCTTGAGGAAAAAGATACATGCCACCTGAAGATAGCAAATAAAACAAAACCATAATAAAGAGCCAACGTGGCTAGAATTGAGTTCTTGGTTGCTATCAAATCCTCTCCTTGGCTCCTATTCTAACCCACTTTCCTAACTGGCTTTTCTTTATTGCCTTGAAACCCTTTCACACATGGAGTTCTTTGTCAGTATTTCAGAATGGCACGGCCTACTATTACAGACTCCTTATGCACTTGTCTTGGAGAGTATTATATCATGTGGCTGTGGCTGAAACTCTGGAAGGAAAGTATAGTTTTATGTTTAGTAATATTTATTTTGATTATTAATGATTAACACTGGGATGTATTTTGATTCTGAGGAAGAGGAACAGACATTTTTCACCTCAATGCTATTTTTCATCCTTTCATCAAACTCCAAGTCTGGGAGTTGTTTAAAACGACACCTATATCTTGCAATTAATGCTCACACACATACCGTATATTCCTATGTAATGCCTTTCAGCACCAAAGGGTATTCTTATCTCAATTGGTCCTTTTAAACCAAGATTTTTTATATGCGGTCTTGCATTTTATCAATATTTTTTAATTCCATAAACAATTGTCCAAAATCATTCTACAAAGGGAAAATAAACCAAGAAATAAGAAAAGAATTGACAGTTTTAATGCAGAAAGCACACCTATGCTATGTTTATTATCTAATTGTTGCTTGCTGTTGCAGGATCTGTTGGTTCATGGATTAACCAAACTGTCAGTGTATAGTGTAGTTTAGGATTGTTCTGCTGAGATTTGGAAGGAAGGAGGTTTGGACAATGAATGGTAGTACTTTTGGTCTCTTCCACACCTCTGTACAGTTTCAGATATAAGCTGGTTTTTCTTATTTTTTTACTACTACAATGATGGGTGCACTGAAGTGCTTTTGGGGTGAAAAGATTGAACAGTAACATCATTGTTGCCTGGGGGACGTCTTGTTGGGGGCTTTTTTCATGTCCCTGTTAAGTTCCCTTCTGAAGTGATAACCATCTATCTACTCATAGTCACCTGCTTTCTAATTGTTGGGTTGGCAGGAGCTGCAGCGTGTGACGAAAGCTCTCCCCGTCTCAGTCTCACGGCAGCAACCAGATCCCGAACACAAATTGCCAATTGTCAGCACAGTGTCTTAACCTTGTGAGCCACTGTGCTTCTCTTTATTTTTCACTGAAGTGCCAAGAAAAGAAATTAAAGAAGATATGCAGTATGTAAATTGTGTGCACCCTTTATTAGAAAAGTTGCAGACAGAAGACGTTCACTAATTGTAGATTTTCTTTCCTGGAAAATGGGTGTATTTTGCATATTAATATTATCAGTAAGACAATGTAAGCTCAATGTACATTTCCCAGTATACTGAAATCAGTTTTAATGGTGATTAAAAAAATCTATTGCTGCTGTTATTTTTCCAGAAATTGCTCTGATTCCAAAAATGTCAATCCCATTAACCAGAATAGTAGAGTTCCTAATCTCAGCCAGTGAGTTCATCCCTTTTGTAGTGTGTATGAAGTTATCTCCTACAAACTCTATCTTGCATAGAACAAAGTTGAATTATTTAGACAATAGTATCGTTGTATTCCTACTTAGAATTCCAGAGGCTTTGTAAATAGTTTGCTTTTGCAGATCCCACAAAATACAATAGGAATAGCATAAAGAACAAGGAGAAGTCTTTATTAGTTTTTAATTATCTTCCGGCTATCTAAATTAAGTGTTAACATAACTGTATAATCTCAGAAAATCCAAATTCTGTTATGCAATATTTGCATGTTAGCATAACCTTAACATACTGTACGTTCCCTCGCTTGGGAATCTCCTTGTATGTAAATATTTTTCATAATTGAATGATACTATTTATAGATTGGATTATCCTGAATCCAATTTAATTTTAAAGTTATGGGTTGATGCTTTGTTTTTAATTCCAAAAGGAAAAAAAAAATACTGTTTTGAATTTACAGTGTGCTAGAAAAGTATACTGTGTCCCACAAATGAGTCATAGTCATATTAGGGTTAATTTTTTTCATATTTCTGCACTGTTTGCTTTTTCTTTTTAACTTTTTCTGTTATTACTTTTAAATGAAAAAATATTAAAAAATATATAAATATATAAATATCCTGCATTGTTTTGTGTTTTTCAGTTTTTTTTCAATTTCAGTTTTTTTTTTTTCTGCCCTAACTTCAGAGTATAAAGAAGCAGAAGATTCGTATGCAAAAGCACTGCAGGTTTGTCCGGCCTCCTGTAACACAGATAGATCCATTTTGTATTCAAATAGAGCTGCAGCAAGAATGAAACAGGTAATACTAATTTCCAAGATTGTAAAGTGATTAGTTTTGTCAGAATTTTTATGTGCAGGGAGTTGCAGGCGGAAATAACACGGGGGGGGGGGGGGGGGGGGTTTGGCATGTCAGATGCCGGTGCAAATTTATTAAGTTTGAACAGATCTGCTGCAGTAGAGTGAGAGTATTGCCAAGCACATGCTAATTGACCAGCTTTCCTCTGAAGCTGTGTCATTTGCCATATCTCAACTCTCACTTGAAAGGAATGCTGGGAAAGAGTTTTTGCTATAGCAACTTTTTTCAATCTGGCAACTTTCAGACTTCTGCTCCCAGAATTCCCTAGTCAGTATGCTGGGAAAAGTGCCCTTCCTCTTGGACATGTTTAGGACAGATGGTGAATGAGGTCTGGATGTTGCTAACTTAGGGAAAAGGTTTTCTGTCAGCTCTTCTTCCCTTCTCTCTGGTATGATCCCTGGAAAAAGCTGATGGAGGCTTGTCCCCAAATGGCCAACGTGTGTGTGTGTGTATGTGTGTGTATTTGCTTCACTCACCACAGCAACAGTTTCAAGAGTTTAAAATCTCTTCTTGCATACATTGAAGGTGGTAATAAATTTTTTGGACTCAAGGCTTATTGATATTAATTATGTTGTATCTTTTATTACCTGACCTGGTGGCACAGTAGTTAAAATGCAGTGGTTAGCATGCAGGATTGCAGGCTAACTGTACCTACACCCAGGAGTTCGATCTTGACCGCCTCAAGCCTTCCATACTTCCAAGGTCAATAAAAAGAAGAGCCAGATTGTTGAGAGCAATATCCTAATGTAAACCACTCAGAGAGTGCTATAAAGCACTGGAGCAGTATATAAGTCTAAGTGCTATTGCTATTTGTTTTATTTTCTATAAATGGAAAATAAGAGTAGGTTAGCCGGCCTACAGATAAAAAGAATACCTTTCTTAGCCTCTAGTTTCACTGACTTTTTGTCCCATAGTTCTGAATGTAGATGCTGAGCATATAAAGTTTTTATGTTACCATGTTATCTTTCCCAGTTGTTATGAATGTCAAAAAATTATATTTTATATTAAATGTCGATGTTATCTCTCATTTAGGATAAGAAAGAAATGGCTATAAGCGACTGCAGCAAAGGTATTTTCTTTTCATGCTTTTGTTCTTGGTCAGAATATTATGTTTAGAGACTAGACATGGGAGAGAATATAGGAAATTTGACAGGTATTTGATCTTATTATCTACTAGGATGAAGCCTGATCAATGGCACTGTTAATTTTCGAGTCTACCTCCCTCAAATATTTGGGTTACACAAGGAGCATATGATGACTGAAATAAGCAGAGGGCTAAATAATTATTCATGAAGCTTTCAACTGAGTATAAATCTAGGAAGATACAGTACATAGAAAATAATTGGGCTCCATTTATCTGATTTTAAAAGAAGAAAAGAGTTGGACAGGTTTAGAGAGACTGGAAATAGGCAGGATAGAATGGAGCAGAGGTAGGAACAGTGAAATCAGATTGATTACCATCACAGCTAACCAAGATATATACTAACCTATGGTTTGTTGAATATATAACAATGAACTGGGCTCACATAGAATATTAAACATTAATCAGGTAAAATAATTTATGAACTACATTGTTGGTTTATATGACGTGAAATTGAAAGCAGACAAACTTTTTTTTTTAATCCTATGAATTCAAAGGTCAGTATGATAATAATGTTGGGTTCTAAACAATGTACATCTAAGGACATACCTTGATGTGTATATTTGCTTAATCTATTTACTGTTTAGAAATGGAGTTGTTAAATAATACTGTAGCATGGTTTTACAGGTATCTTGTAGAAATACTGCAAGTAAGATGTATTATTGCTCTTTTTTTTGTTTTTCAGCTCTAGAGTTAAACCCAAACTATATCAAAGCACTGTTGAGGAGGGCAGAACTGTATGAAAAAACAGAAAAGTTAGATGAAGCTTTAGAAGATTACAAAAATCTGCTGGAGAAAGATCCATCGGTATATCAAGCAAGGGAAGCTTGCATGGTAAAGTTATTTTTGTAATCAAGGAGATGATTATAGTAATACCATTAAAGCACAGAATTTTTCAGGACACTAGTGAAAGATGGCAGTCAAAGAAGCATGATCCAAAAGAATAGGGAGTGAAGAGAAAGGCTGTCTCTGAAATCATAATCCTGATTTTTCAAGTTGGAGGATCAGTTATAAGCAGAGGTGGGATTAAGCTGGTTTGGGTGAACCGGTTGTTGAAATTCTGCCCAGTTCGGCGAACTAGCAAATCCCACCACTGGCTGGCCCCACCCCCACCCATTTTCCGGCCTTTTGGGGGCCATTTTCCAGGCTGGTTTTCAGGCCGTTTCCCAGACCGTTTTCTGGGCCCTTTTCAGGCCTTTTTTGGGCGAAAACAGCCCAAATCCGGACAATAAACTGCCCCAAAAAAGGCCTAAAATGGGGTTAAAAACAGCCCGAAAAATGTCCAGAAAATGGCCCGGAAAATGCTCAAAAACAGGTCAAAAAAGGAAGGAAGGAGATGGTAATGAGGAGATGGAGGGAGGGAAGGAAGGAAGGAAGGGGTTAATCCAGTTTTAGCTTAGTTTCTTTCAGAATTGCCTGCACAGAAGTATTGTCAATTCTTCTCCTTCTGCTATTTATTTATTATTTTTGGGTTGCAAATGGGCTTTAATTGTAAATTGCTTCTGAGGAATCAATGGGATTTATTGCCTCTGCCAGGTGTGAAATGTTGGCTATTATGATACAATATGTTGCTTTTTAATAAGCTCAGCCTCCAATGTCTTACTTTCCTTGGCGATGGGAGCAGAATGCTTTGCTGGTTTCTCCCCATCCTTTCACTGTGGATGGAGGCATTTGCACCAAGAAACTGAGAGTTGGTTAACCCTTTCATTTCTGGAGGTGTTGCATATAGGCCCATGGAGACATGGCTGGGTGTGATGAATGACTGTTGAGTTGGCCACGCCCACCCAGTAACATGATCACCTGGCCACACCTACCCAGCTAGTCATTAGGGCAGAGAACTGGTTGTTAAACTATTTGTATCCCATCACTGGTTATATGAGATGAATTATTCTTGAATTATAGCTTTTACTTCAGATATGAGCAAACATAGCTTTAGAGTTAAAGTGTGGGAAAAATCTGCTATGGAGGGAACAAAAGGACATTTTAATTTTTTTCTTTCTTTCCTTACTTGTTTTTGTGACTTTTTGAAGAGCATTTGCCACCAGATTCTCAGAACAGATGATAAAGCTGTAGCTTCTTGGTCCCCTCCAAAAAAATTTAATTTTAATTTGGTTTTTAATTGTAGCAAATGTGTGGTCTTAATAGCCCCTTTAAAACGAGCTGGTGTGGAGAGTTGTCTAAAATATGGAAAAATCATAAAATCAGAATGTTCTTTGGAAAGAGTATCATAAAGATGTTCCACTCTTTGCATAACATCAACAACTAGCCATAGGCTTTAATAATGGCTTTGAAGTTCCTTAAATGCTATTGTGAAGGGGATCTCTATGTCTCAGAATTATATGACTTGAAAGAAAATCTGTAGTTGTATGATGGGCATGTCTTGGATTTGGAAGCCCAAAATTGCATCCACTGAGCTATTTCTCTTACTTAGATGAAAGCAAATTCACTGTTTGACAGGTATGCATGTGTCTCTAATAGATCAGATAATGGCCTAGGTTAACAAGTAGTTTTTCATCATCAAGTGATGCATCAATCTGCACATTGGATAAAGAATAAATAAAGTTGCTTAATATGTGTTTGGAATTGGTCTTCTGTTTGCTTTTGTTTTTAGAGATTGCCAAAAGAAATAGAGGAACGTAATGAAAAACTTAAGGCTGAGATGTTAGGTAAGTAAATTTTGTATATAGTTTGCTAATGCAGGAGAATGGTTTCTGTAACGGGATATGCATAGTGTTGTGACTTTTTAAAATTGCCTTTTCTATAGACTTTGTAGAATTCCATAGTACCACGGACTTGTTTCAGATTCTGCCATGTTTGAAAAGAAAGGATTTGTGTATATTTATCTTGTCAGATCATTAAAAAACCTGTTGGAGCTAGGTCACCCTGATCTCTACAGCTACAAAAATAGAAACACCCTGACTACTGCCACAGTAGAAATACAGATTACTCATTTTGGCTGTAAGAAACAAACTTTTATATTAAAGCAAACAGCAAAATTGCTTCTACCATAGGCTCTACAGCTTGAAGTCATTCTGAAGATAGGAATAATAGACTGGATACAGAGGCTGGTTGCAAATTTTATTGATGTTAAGTTATATCTAGTATCTGGGTATAAAAGGCAACTATTGTTCTCATTGAGCCAATTGTGATGGTGATATTGTTATAGTCCTTAGAAAATAGTAAAATTTGTTCATAACAATGTGAAGTCACAGTTGCCAGTTTTTTAACTAGTGTTGACCTTCATACACATAAAGGTCTTTCCCAAAATGTCAGATATAATAATGTAGTGCAGGGGTCTCAAACTCAAGGCCCGGGAGTCAGATTCGGCCTGTGGAATGCTTAGATCTGGCCTGCGGGGCTGCCCTGGAAACAGCAAAGGACTGGCCCAGAAGAGATAGGTCCTTTCTTAATTTAAGTCTTATGAAGTTCTCCAAGTCATTTTTTGAATGGTTCAAAACACAATAGAACAATGTTTTTGTCTGAAATTGAAAAAAAATACTAGTAGTAGTGTAATTTTTAGCTGGATTTTAGTTTCAACATGCTCTTACAGTTAAATAGTGAAACTGATATTTAAAGTACTTTTTTTCAAAGCAATAGAGTTGAGTTTTATGCCAGTTTTATGCTTGTACTGAATCATACTCTTTGTGAACAGCTGATTTCAGTTTATCCAAACTCAAATGGTTTGTGAAGCAAAGAGAAGGCTTATCCAGCTCAATCTTTGTTCTCTTATCGTTCATCCACATGCTTACTTTCGATTTTGTTTTTCGTGGCCTTAAAGCTGGGCTTAATCTGGGCTGCTTCAATTATTTCAATTCTTCATAACCTTTGTACTGTCTAATTACAGTACTATGTTAGAGGGCAGCATGGGTTCTTCTCACCCTTTTTAAAATAAAAATGTTAACTAAGGAGTTCTAGAATTGAGGATGAACACAGTAGCTCTAAATAATTGTGATTAAAAAGTCTTGTGGAAAAGCAGGTGTTCTGTTTACCTCTGGTCTGTCAAAAACATGCTGTGGGCATTATGAAACCCATAGGAGTTGTACTAGTGGAGATGTAAATTCAAAGGGGAAAACTGCATGTAATAAATACATAATGGTGGGGCAAATTTTGGACATGTAGCATCTTTCCCCCTGGTGTCTCTTAAAATGACTGTCTACTGTTGAAAGTGGATGATATAAAGAATACCACCCTTCTTATGTTGGCATTTCTTGAACAGAATTCTTAACAGCCTTTTTAAGACTTCCTTCTTCTGTAAGTATCATTGTCAGAAGACATTATTTCCATTATTGTGATAATTTTTTAAATGTAGTTGATGGTGTGAATTTTTTTATGCATGTGTATTGCAGGCAAGCTGAAGGATCTTGGGAACCTGGTTCTTCGTCCATTTGGCTTATCAACGGAAAACTTCCAAGTGAAGCAAGATTCCTCAACTGGCTCCTACTCTATCAACTTTGTTCAAAATCCAAATAATAACAACCGATAACACTAGCCCAAATGGCATGTGGCAAAATTTTGGGCTTTGAGGCTTAATGGTGATGTGGTTTCGGTGAATGCAAAAAGGATGAGTAAACATTTAATGCATAACATCATTCTTTAAACTGGGAGGATTTGAACTGAGACCTATGCATTGTGTATGTGTGTGTGAGATTCTTTCAAAAGAGGTGGGCAGAAGAAGACTGTTATTTGACCTTCGCAGCGATGTTTCATGCACTTTGGGCACTGCACCTTCCCTCTGAGGAGGGTGGGGGTTAGCTTTGCAAGTTAGAAAAATGTCAGTGTGTCTAAGCCTGTAGCCCCATAGTACAATCATTTCATCATTTGTGAAGTTTGTAAGTCTCTTTGACGGGCAGAGAAGTGTTTATTTAGAGAATCTACTTTTACCTTACAGATTAATAAATCATTCATGGTATTAGTGCCTGTCTTTTAATTCAAAGTAGCCTTTTCAGTGCTAAATGTTGCATAACAGCATAAATTCTCTTGAATGAGGGAAAGTGGTTATTAGCACCTGCATAACTACTACAAGCTCCCCTCCCCAGGTGATTTTATTTTATTTTATGCTTTTTTAGAAGACACATTGATGGGCTTTTAAATACATCTGTTTCTTTATTTATTTTGTAAATCCCCAAAAAATGAGTGGGTGTCTGGTAAAACAATTCAAGTTCTTGATCACCAAAAGATATGTTTGTTTATTTGCAACATTCTCTAGTTATAAAGCAAGCTACCTATCCCTGCTTGGATATGTCTACTAAACCCTTTATCTTTATCGGACTGATTTCCACAAAATGTGTCTTTTCTTGCAGAAGATATAGACAACTTGTAATTTCTACCAGTATCATAAACAGTATATTATGGTGTTTAAATATGCTTTTATTATATTTTGTTTCATCTTTAAGGAAAGGTATGCAGTTGTATAATTTGTACCAGACACCATTATTCACCAATGGTGTTCAAACATTACTACTACACAGCCTTCATTTCAATAAGACTTCAAGATAGACTGTTTTGATCAAAGAAAAAGAAAATACAGTGCATTTATTTCTGAGTTCTTCCTATATGAGTTGTTTGTCAATTCATAGCCACATTGTTTCTTTCAGATTCAAAAATCTTATCACAGAGAGTTGTAAACAATAATTTAAGCATTGAATCCCTAAGTGCAGCCAATTGAAATTCTACATGATTAAAACATCTTTTTGCAAATTTGAATACATACTTAGCATTTATATGGAATTGTAACATATTCAGAGTAAGAAAGCAGTGAATATGGCACATGAAACATGTATATATCCTTTCTATTAGTACTTTGTAATATATTTGGCAAGAATAACAGCTTTCAAATATTTCCTGTAGCTAACTGGGTCTTTCTGTTCTTGCTTTTGGAATTTTTCTTATTCTTCCATGCAGAACAGTTTTAGTTGAAAAGATTATTGTATTTTCTCCCACATGCTGTTTATTTGAGATTGCCCCACATATTTTTAATAATACTCAAGCTCAAGAATTCTAAAATGTTTATATTTGTTTCTAATAAGTATTTCATGGTTCACAAGTTGTTTATGTCAATTGCATGGGAGAGCTGGCATAATAAAGCCTTTTCTTTAACCTCATCTCAGAAATAATTATCTAGAAATCCTTGATGAACCTGAAACATTTTGGAAAACATGTTTTGGGCTGATGAAACAAAAATTGAAATCTTCAGCCACAATCACAAAGAGGAAAAAGAGGTGAAAAAATTGGAGAAAAAGAAACATTTCAGAATGGTTAGCATAGGGTCTCTCTGTTATGCTCTGGAATTATATGGCAGCCACTGACAAAGTAAGCATTTTGTGAGTGGAAGAATGAAGAGGTTAAACCAAATATGAAGATCCCTAGAAATTGTTGTCCATAGTTAATAAAATAACTGAATTTGAAAAGAAGCTGGGTAATTGAGCAGGACAAACACCTGTAAGTATCTCCAGACTTGAAAGTCTGTAAGATCCAAGGGTTCATCCAAAAATGTTCAGTACCTTGGCCAGACAATATACCTGATTGTGAAGGCAGCATTCTGTGTTGTGACTTTCAGGCCCACCCAGGGAGTGCATACAAAGAGAATTATAAATAATTAGTTTCAGTTTGAAGCTTCAAGAATGAGAAAAAAATGCCAAGTTTGTAATAGACTATTAGCTGGCTACAGAAGTATATGGAAGGAAGAGTTTTAAAATAAGACTTTGGCGGTTGCTGCATTCTCTATTAACTTACTTTGAATCTAGAAAAAACGTTCAAAATTAATGGAAAGGTAATACAGTATGTTTAATTTTATTATGTAGAGGTTGTATTAGCTTCTGTTCATATAGGGATTCATTAAAACATAATTTCTGATTATAATTGCCTAAACATGTATATGCATTTTTGTTCAAGATGGCATTTATGGTAAGAGATGGTGTGTGTGGTTTTGGTTTAATTGGCTTAAATATTCGTTATATGGTTGGAAGAAAATAGTTTAAGAGTGTTAGGAGAGAGTTTGAAAGGAGCTGCATGAATTAGGATAGGTTAAGGTTAACAAAGGAAACATGACTGACAGATTATAATTAGAAGCTGTTTTACACCTATAGTGACATTTCCCTACCATCAAGATCTGTTGGCTCTGCTGGAATGTGCAAATATTTTCAGTTGACCTTCATATTGGAGTGGGGACTGTAAAGATGATTATATGACTGCTCGGTGTGAAAATATACAGGAGCAGAGATGTTGGCATTGCTTGAGAGATGTGTGATATGATAGCCATTACACACTATCTTTTTAAGTTGTTTTTAAGGAGAGGCAAAGATGGACCTGGGAAGTACCTGAGAAGCTCATTACCAGCAGACCTGCAATTACTAGCGGTTGAAGATACAGGGTATTTGATGAATTGGCAATTGGAAAGGGAATTTAAGAATTGTCCAACGGTTTAGTATTAGCAGTAAATAGAAGAGACCAAGAACATCAATGGCACATTAGTATGTGCTACTATTTGTCAGTTAGAACAGTGGCCCCCAACCTTTTTTGTGCCATGGCCCGGTACCGGCATCACAAAATGATCCGCGGCCTGGTACCGGCATCAGTACGCATGACAAGGCAAGGCGAGCCGAGCGACCGGCCAGCCAGCCGTCCCCCACTTCTCCCCGCCACCTTCAACTCCTCCTTTGTACCTTTGTCGATGGGCTTCACTTCGGGACGGCTTCGGGACGGTCGCTCGGCTCGCCTTGCCTTGGGTGCTGAAAGAATCCTCACGCCTTAGTTTCGTTCGAAGCCCCCCCCTTCGATGAAACTAAGGCGCGAGGATTCCTTCAGGACCCAAACGCCGCTTTCCAACCGGAAAAGCTCACCCGGAAGCACTTTCTCGTCAAACAAGATGGCGGCGCCCAGCAAACCGGCGGCCCGGTAGGAAATGTTCCACGGATTGGTACCGGTCCGCGGCCTGGTGGTTGGGGACCCCTGAGTTAGAAGGTGCTGGAGTTGGGAATGGAAATTCCTATTATTTCTCCCTAGGTGGGCCTGAAAGTCACAACACAGATTACTACCTTCACAATCTGGGATTTAGTACAAAGAGAGGTATATTGTCTGGCCAAGGTACTGAACATTTTTGGATGAACCCTTAGAAGACAGAGTCTCATGATACTTAGTGGTGCCCGATTTTCACCTACATTATATTTTTAAAGTAAATGCTGCCTTTGTATACAAAAATTCACTGGGTTTGAATGGATAGGTGATCCACCTGATTGAGATTGCTGGAAGAGGCAGGATTCTCTCAAAGTAGTAGTGAGATGGTAATCTGGAAATTAAAGCTTCCCAAGAAGTGCTAGATGGTGGGGGAAAAGTAGTGAATTGGGCACAAATAAGTATAAGTGATATTACCAGACTATTGATCTCCCCATGTGACTGGTGGATTGTTTGAGTAGGATGATTAAAATTAGTTGGTGGTCTTGGATTAAGGGAATAGAAGTGGAGAGAGTAATGTGATCCTATTAGTGACAGATTGGGGAAGATATGATGCGGGATGCTAGATTTGCTGTTCTAGGGGAGAGATTGCTGATAATCTCCACTTCTGGCACAGTGGCCCCTCATCTAGCTTTTGGCAGCTGGATTGTTAATGCTCTTGGCCTTAAGTTGATTGTAACATTAATGAGGCATTTTTAATAAGCCCGTGCTTATCTATAGCTTGATTGAGGATGAACAGGTAGATCTCATGTGTTTTACCTGGACCTCTCTGGGCAAGGGCACCAATGTTGTTTTTTTGGAGATTCGTTCTATTGTTTCATGTTGTTTTATCAACCAATATCTGGGAGTAGTGGGATTGATCTATAAAAATACAGTGCAAATGTTAATGCCAATTTATTACACTGAGCTGTAAGAACAAGTTAAGTATCCTGCTGGCTGATCAGCATAATCTTTCAATGATTTCTGGACCCGATCTTGTTGGCATTGGAGTTGTTTTGCTTATTGATACTGGGCAATTTCAGATGCCATGTCTTGTTGGATCTGGGAGTACATGACCTCCAGGCACCATCAGCTTGTCCCTTGTAATCTCAGGCCTGATACATTGACAAAACTTCAGAACAGTTGTTCAGAGATCTGCATATGGAGAATATAACATTTAGTTCTTTGCCTGATCAGATCATTTCCTGGCCAAGATAACATTGCTGTCCATGACTTCTGTGGGGTGAAGGAGCATTCATACTGCCTGTTCCAGATGCTTTATTGATTCAGGTGGATTCTGGATGGGACTTGAATAATTTCCCACAGCTTGGCAATAGAAGACCACCTGGACTCTCAATGAGATTGGTATTGGACAGCACTGAGAAGCAATCCACAGTGTTTTACCAAAGTTTTCAAGATGTCTAGCCCATTCAATGGCTTAACCACTTACCACTGAGACAAATTAAATTACAACTATAAGCAAAGTAGACTGGAGGATAAGAAGGAAAGTAATACCATCTATTTAAAAGTGAGGAGGCATGTTGTATTCTGCAGAATTATTTCACTAGATTTAGTGGCAGTGGAGGGAATACTCCCTCCCCATTACCTGTTCTGAAAAATTATAAATTCTAGAAGTGGTGTAATCTACACTGTTTAGAAAGCCATTGTCTTCTGTTGGAATTGCTGTTAGCTATCTCTGCTTAATATTACAACTTTCATTATTCTTTTACTGTCAAAGAAACGAACAGATGAAGAGACAGCAACATTGCTTGGGATAGCTTTTTAAAAGTGCAGAAAGAACAAATCAACGTTTTATTTCAAAACATGGTACACAACAATTCTTGAATATTTAACTTCAGGCAAAACTGTAAAAGTTTAATAATTTTCCTTATTCAAGTCTACCAAATAAAGGAGGCATAGTGACATAATATATGGACATAAAAGGCAACATGGAGCAAAGCTTAAATATTAAGCAACTAAAGAAAAAAGTGAAAAGCAATACATTACTTCTACCACTAAAAATTTCCCTGACAGCATAATCTCAAAATGAAAACCAAGGTGGTTGAAATTCAATTCTTCATGAGCAATATAAATAGTCATCTTGTCTCTTTTTCAAACTTAGCCCCCTTCTTTTCTACACATAAAGTAAGCTGTGGCTTCTCCACATCATTAAATTATGGTGGTAAAATAGGCAGAATTGGTGTGTTTGAAGAAAAATAAAATCAGTTCTGGCTAACAGTGGGTGTTGTCTATGCAGGCACTATTGGCTCCGCCCATAATATGTGTACCTTTGTATAGATTGATACCATTTTCCTGAGTAGAAACTATCACTTTGTGCCATGATGACTCCTTCAAGCTTTATACATTTTTTCAAGTGAAAACATCATTTTAAATCAAGATGCTTAAAAAAACATTTTCCTTCAGAATAGATGCATTATCTGCATTATTTCATCAAAGTTTCTTTTTAACTTTCTGCAAACTGGTTTCAAATAATCTTTTTTGAATGAAAAATTGTAAAAAAAAAGCCTTCACCATTTCTCTTTTGCTTTAACATCAGTGAAAAGAGTACTGCACCAAATTTCTTATGAAAATGGGCACAATTGAAATTACCATTAATCATTATTATGCAGAGCTTTTTTAAAGTAGGTGCTCTGGAATCTTTATAATCTTTATAAATACTAATAAATGTTTTCACAGATAATTATTAAATCTTTTTAATATAGACTTGTATTGTAATAAACATTTCCCTTGTTTTAAATGCTATTTAAAATATAAATCTGTTACTAAATAAAATAAAGAGGAAAAGTTATGATTGCAACTTGGAAAATATGAATTGGACACTTGCTGTATTTGCTGGAATATATAATTTTAGAAAAAATTATCTTAATGTATTTTAATATCCTAAAGATTGAAATCTATATATTAGAAGGCATCCTTGTATTGACATGAAAACTGTTAATTATATCAATCTATATATTGTGCATTTTTTGACATCACTTTTTCAAGCTAATTGCTGAATTTTGCTGCCCGACGCAAGGGTTTGCAAAGTTTTAAAATAAGCAGTTTTAGAAATACTGAACAAGTAATTCTTTTAGGCTTTCGGTGTAATCTAGTGAAAATTTGGCATAACTTATTCTCATTGAAATGTAAAACCACATTGCTGTTAAAAACTCAAGTCCTGTTGAGAAAAAGATTAGAGGCTTCCTAGGATAGGAAACTTTCCAGTGTAAACCAGCTAATCTTTAAAATGCCAAGGAAGTCTCAGTGGAACATGTTAGTTATGACTAACTTAATGTGCAATACATCACTATGCTATAAAAAGAAATGTCATAACTTTGGATACCAATTACTACTTCATCTTAACAGTACCTGCTTGTGGCAGATACTGCTGGGTGAACAGAAGAGATAGAAAATCTGTACCTTCTGATGCAGCCTCTATTTTAGCCACTAAACTATTTCCAAAAGGGATGGTCTTTGCCACAATTACTCAAGGTAGAGTTATTTATTTTTGTCCCTTGCTGCTTTATGGAAAACCGTAAGTCTCAGAACACATCTGTCAGCCCTTAATAACACAGTTGAATTTGGACATGCTTCCAATAAAGGATTACAGCTCTGCTAACACTTGCACTAAAGACTAATGTTTGTTAAGATGTAAAATGTAACACACAAAGAACAAAAGCAAATGTTCAGAACCTTACAGCCAATTTTCCAGGTGTCTCAATCAGTTACCGGCACCCATTCAGACAAGTTGCATTTGAAGAGTAATATTACACTTTGTGATTCTTCATTCTGGTACTTCAAGTGGTTTCTTTCGCGTTGAATAGGCTCCTTGGCTCATGCCTTTGTTTATTGCAAAAATAGTTTATAAAATATCAACATTTTAGATTTGAAATTATAAATCTACAACACATACAGATTTCCTGGAAATGGACTATAGTCTTTTTTTTTTTTTTAAGTATCTCAGTATACACCATGTTCTGGATTGCAGAAGAAAGTGGCATATCAGATGTATGCAATTTCTGGTTAGCTGACAGACTTCATGCCAGTGCAAGAGAATTCCATAAACACAGCAGATGATTAATGTCTCTGAGCTGAAAAAGAAAAATACAAATTTATAGTTTAAGCTTATTTCCACATGTTCATACTGTTATAGAACCGTTTAAAAAAATGGATATAAACTTATTCCACTGAAACAATATTAGATATTTAAACTCAATATGAAAGCTAAACACAATGTATCATCACCATTTTTTCCTTTCTCTTATATTCTGTAACCTTTATAATTTCCAATGATTCTGGATTCCATAGGAAAATGGAGGTGAGTGTACTTTGAAGATCTAGGGATTTCATAATATAGTTTAACCTAATTTTACTGAACAGTTTAAAATACCCAATTGTCTCATTTCTGAGGCATACCATTAATGATATAAAAGTTCTCATATAATTGGATTTGTTGAAGTTAAAATATTTAAATTAGATGTCAAGAAAAATATGTTTGATAACATACATATTGATTTTGAAGGCTTTAGAACATTAAAATGGACAAAGAAAATATATATTAGGAAAATAAGGCAGCTGGATTTTGGCATCAAGGATGTTAAAATAATATTAAAAGACAATTGCAGAAAAGCTTAATATTCATTGCAGTTCATATAGAATTAGTCTTGTAAATATTCATATCAAAACTGCATTTAGGAAAGCTATTTGAGCAATTCAGGTAAATATTTGTGAGCAGGGATTGTATTCTAATAAAAATTATTATCCCAAAAGCTAGATCCAGATATATCCCCTTCCCTGCCAAAGCTAGATCCAGATGGTATTCATAAAAAGGGTTCTTAATTCAAACGTAAAATGGTTATTTTAAAAAATAAAAATAGGTTATCTTTGTATTAAAACAAGTGGGGAAAATAGCATAATGCTAGGAAATTACAGATAAATTGGGTCAATATCTAATCTGAGAGACAAGTCTTGCAGAAGAAAAATCAACATCTATAGAAAAGTCAGTTGTATTCCACTGCCATCTTACAAATAAGGGGAGAGATGGTAAATGTATGTTTAGGCCAGGAATATGCCACATTTCTGGGCATGGGGAAGCTCACTTGAATTTGAGATCATGTGTTAGGTACCCACTCAAAATAGCCATATAGAGACTTGCTTATTCATTGAATGCCAGCCATGGTGGATATGGCTAGTCACAAAATATTTTAACCAAGTCTCTAATCCATGTTTGAATCATAATTTATAGACTTAAGATTATAGCCATCATGACCATAGCATCAGGTCCAAATTACAGAGATATTTTATACAGTCATGCCAAGAGGCAGATTGTTTAATTTGTATAATGTATGTAACATAATGCATGTGGCGTTCCCCCCCACATCTGGGTACTTATGATGACATGAAAATAACGCTTGGATTGACAAAAGCTTGAAGGACAGAACAGATGAAAAGACTCAAAAGAATTTATCTTAATTGGAGAAAAAGTCTTTATAGAAAAGTGAAGTAATGAATATTTGGGTGGAACCCATGCAACCTAAGAGAATGTATTGGGGATATTTTAATAAAAAAGATAATCAGTTTATTGACTGCCATAAAGATGAATTCTGCTGGAAATTGATATTGTAGAAAAGGTGAAAAGAGCAAGTAACTAATTGAACAAAAGCATTGAAATGTATTTTCTATAATTAATATATGAAACTTATAGAAAAAAGATACAGAAAATCATATGGAAAAAAAGGAAAAAATCCAGTATCTTCTAATTCTTCTAAAATATAGATGTGTCTCAAAAGGTGTTATTCAGAAATTAAAAGCAAGTATGTCCACCTCTGCATAATGAGATCTGCCAGACCTTTATCCATACTATTGTTTGCTTTGAAATAATGTGTGCCAGCATTTATTTGTAAAGTTAGCCATGATATTTAATACCTGCATTGATACGAGCAATCCTAAACTCATATGCAAAACCAGGAAACCCTAATATAGCCAATAGAAATCTCATGCTAATATTTTTCTGTATCTTGGACTCAAGTAATAGACTCCCTGATATACTATGCTATATACGTTAGCTAAAATGACACAGGAAGCAAAGAAGGATAAGTTGGGGGAGGGGAGGACACTCTATAAGGCAAAGAGTTTAGCTTTAAAGAGAAACTGGGATTAGCACTGCAGCTAGAATAGTCCAAGGACAGAGGCATTATATTCTAGAAGTTCCTTCCCGCTGCTCAAACTGGGAACAGCAGCAACTATATTTGTTCCACTCTTAACTACTCCAAACCCTGTCCATGATGAATGTAGACCAACTAGGGAATAATTAACAAGGACACTTATATTCTAAAAAACCAGAATGTCCTAATTTCAGACAGTACTGTTAGGAACTGTTATCCTCAAAAGGATTTTGAATAATGAAGTTACTGGAAATGAGGAAAATCATAACTGCAACTCAGAACATTAGAAAACCATACAGTACCAAAAAAGAAAAGAAAATCTTCAGACAGGCTCGATTTCAGTAAGTAGAGGCAAATGATGTTGAAGATGTCTCCATTGCATCAGTTCTATTTAATGGGAGAAACAGCAAAGAATTCTGATTTATGATGATGGTTAATCCCCCTGTAATTTTTCACATCCAATTTTTCAGCCTCTCTCTAGTATTCTTACACTACTATCTGCCCTTAATTTGATTCACTGATATTCATCACTTAAAAGAAATATTTTTTATATAAAAATTAGTAATTCTTTGGCTAGCAACAAGGAAGCCCACCTGACAGATGCATGAGAAAGAATACAGGATTCAAGTTGATTTGACCTTATCTTGGGTTGCTCCAACCATTAAGAATGCAAAACATTTTTATGGTGGTTTAATAGCACAAGAGGAGCCATGTTGAATCAGACCAAAGACCTAGTTTATTAAGTGTTCTCTATTTGAACTGGCCAACCGTATAGTTACACAAAATCAAAGAGATATATCCGGCATGAGTACATTCCTGTTCCCCACTGCTTGTTTTCAGACATTTTTGATCTTACCATGATTAAAGGGCTGCTTATCTTTTATACATTTGTCTAATAAGTACTTAACTTTAAATTAATCCCTGATAACAAAATTAACATCAGGTTAAGCTTGTGTATGTGCACACATATACTGAGTTCAAAATGCATACAATTATGTGTCATACTACTATATATACTTCAATAAGGCATGCATTTTGTTCTCGCTGGATAGATGGCAATGCTTTTTGAGCATTAAAGAACATAGACCATCCCTCCTATAGAGATTATTGGCAAAGTGAATTATTGGCTTGCCTAACTCACGGAGATATTTGTTCTTTCACATTATAAATTCAAATCTTGCACTTTACTGCACTTAATTTTAGTTCAACCCAGTGTTTTTTTTTCCATACCTGGACTACTATTAAGGCATGGGCGGAACACTTATGTATGAACTCATTCCAAGTTGTTGGAGTAATTCCACTACTTTTCATATTTTATGCTACCCCTTGCTTGCACAGAAGTGCCTTTTTATTCACTTTCAGCTCATCTAGATACAGGCTCTGGAGTATTTATCACTTTTTTCCTCAGCAGGAACTAGATTTCTCATTTCATTAAATTAGTGTATTATTTTAACTGCTTGACCTTCCCCAAGTACACTTTTGATCCACCACCAGGCTCCTAGGAGACTCATTTACTGAGATTAATATTCAGTAAGAACTTGTTAAAATAAACATGCTAGCAATCCCGATTAAAACATTTCTATGGATATATGATCAAGGTTATAATCCAGAGCCATGTTCATACATTCTATGTACTGTTTACTCTAAAGATTGCTCTGTAGCCAGTAAATTAGGTAAACATCTGAGAGGAATTACACTGAATCTGAAAAATGCCAAGATATGTGAGATGTTAAGATTTCTTGGAGCTAGGATATACTCTGTGTTTTTCTTGATTTTTAGCTTGAACAGATCAATTCAGTGCAATTAAACATGGTCTATTGACACAATTGAAATAAGCAGAGGAGGAATATATGAGACTTGACCTAGAGAAAATTGGGCTCAAATCTCCACTTGAATATATATAATACATCAGGATATAAAAAAGGTGTATGTGAAAAAATATGAATATATGTATGTATATGTGTACACATAGAATATAAAATATAAGATATATAATTTATAGTTGTACACATTTATAGTTTTATTTACAATGGAACTCAGTGGGTGACCCTCTGGTCTCACCTACTTATAGGATTATTGTGGGGATGAAATCAAGGGGAAAAAATTGTACCCTGAGAATGGGCTTTCAACAAAAAAGCAGGACATAAATAATCAACTTTAAAAATGAGATGAAACGAGCAATAGTTTAAGAGCTAGATTGTTGATTTTGCTTTGGTAAGCTATTGTAGCTTTCATTATAATTACAACCACTATGCAGACTGAAAATAAATCAATTACAAGTTGCATGAAAAGTTTTTCTTTAATCTGCCGACAGCCCTAAAGAAGTTGTAATTCAGCAAACCAATGCAGCAAATGTAACTAATTTCCACTAAAATTTGAGCATACAACTCGTGTAGGATCATGTTCTCACAGTAAGATGAAATCAAGTTTAACATATATATGAATTATAGTTTCACCTCAGTCGTACAGATGCAAGACCATCATCACTATTTCTTTCATTAAAAAAATTGCTGAAATAGCACAAGAAATTGCCTTAAAACAATTTGTCCAATACACTATGCAAACTACAAGAAACTGCAGTAGTCCCTAATACCAAGCTTAATTAAAAGATGTAGTCAATTTTTACCTTATCTGAATTGGCATACAACGAAGCTGCCCATAAAAATTGTGTATGTGTGTTACAGACTCCTCTGTAGCTTCTTGGATAGGGGAGATTAACCCCAAATTTGGGAGCCACAAAACTGTAGCTGATAGAAATCCAAATTATGCTCCCTAACTCTTGCATGAGGCACTTTCTCCTTAAAAGAATGGAATTCCAAACAAGTGTTTATTTCATTTGGTGCTTCAACCTCCAAAAACAGCCAGAATAAATTACATCCATTAACTTGATGCCTTGCAATGAATATTCATTATATACCGCATGACATTTATGATTTTAAAGTTAACCACATAAATCAAAACTTTCATGGGACATAAAATGACATGAAGCAATGGCCAAAGACATCATAATGTCATTAAAAATTCAAACATATTTAGAACAAACTTTTTCAAAGGCACCAATCTGTGAAGTAGCAAGATACTGTACATGAGAAAATATTTAAAATAAGAATTCCTGCTTTTGATAATGGTAAGTTGGTGTATTACCTTCCAGACTAAGAATTCTGACACAATAATTTCATTTCCATAGCATAGGTGCACCACCTAGTTACGTGTGGCTCCTGTAAGCCTTAGTTATGATCCAGAGACCTCTAACGTTATTTTTTTTAATGTGGCAAAAAGAAAGATTAAATACCTGATTTGGGAATAATCATATTCATTATCTTTCCTTAAATTTCTGTATTAATGAAAAGAAGTCAAACATTTATCCTGGCCACAGGATAATTCTTGGGAATGTATTCAAAGCCATTCCTTGGCTTGGGAAAAAAATATGCATTCAGTTTAAATTAATTTCTGAATCTATTTGAATATGTGGTTCGGAAATAGGATTTCAAGGTAGAAGGAGCAAGCATCTATTAAGAGTACTTCCATAAACTAGTATGAATGTTCAACTTGATTATGTCTAGAGAGCTAGTCCACCCATTACAAATTTAAAACAAACTTTGTCCACAGCAACCCTAAACCAACCTACGTTTTCAAGTTTATGGTAAACAGTGGCAGTGTATTTTAGGAAATCCTGAGCATAGCCTGCCTTTCAAAAAGACATAGCATGTTTTGTTCCTTGAACTACTACATTGGTTTCTGTTTGCAGGAAAGAGAATACACAGTATAAGACTGAAATAGGACTGAATGCCATTTTGTGTGTTTTCTAATTTCAAAAAGACTGAATACAAGTTCATTTCTTAATAGATTTGGAACTTTACAATTGATTGTGAGCATTGTCAAATGGAGTACCTCAGGAAAACAGAGAGACTTTCTAAAGAATATTTCTAAAATAGCTATACAGTTTAAAGCTTAAGTATTTTGGAAAAATTGAGTTAACATTTTATTATGTGAGACATACCTTAGCATCAGTCACAACAGAGCCTTTAGTCATTATTTCTTTGGACTCCATATGTTGGTCTGATTTTTGTTTAACACTTTTTTTTCTTAGAAAATATCTACTTGTAGAACTCAGGTATAAATTTTAGGGCAATAAAGTTAAGCCCTCTAAGAACAGTTAACTACGAAGTAGTAGAATCTGTTGCACAGGCTATCGAACTGAACTAACTCCATTTCACTGCCCAGTGCAGAGCATGAGACAAGCAGAATATTTAACAGCAAGAAAACATTCAGTAACATAGATTAGAAATATAGGAAGGCACTTCTTACAGAATTACTGATAAACATTTAGGGAAAAACAATTGAATTTATAAAAAATAGAAACTTTGTTATTTTGAACACCATTATTTTATAAGCAGCGACTGAAGCCAGTTTAGTTAATGATGAGCAATAAAAAAATGATTTCCTTCAGAATGTCTCCTAAGCATTGCATAAACAGACCAGCCTCACTTCCTGAGTTTCCTTCAGGGCTTTTTGAGAAACACACACAAATAATTAGATTTAGTCAATTTTATTTACATTTTTGTACATTTCAGAACATTACACAATTACATTTTCCATATTTTCTGACCTGCAAACAGATACCTTAAATGGAAATACTTTAAAAAATGCAGTTTGATACATCCAAATGCAACAATTACACATCTGACAATTCACAAAGTGTAATTTACTAGGACGTATCCTAAGGATTTAAGAACAAGTAGTCAGGGAAATTAATTATTTACACAACACAAAATTCTCAAGCTAACCCTTAGAACAAATGTTTCCCCAACAGGAAATTTATGTAATTCACACTTAATGCAGCATTAACAGTCCTTGATCCCATAAATGGAAGGACTGTCCAGTCTAATGTGAGCAACCAGCTTTCTCTTAAAACTTGCCAAAACCTGAAGAGTGTATGTTTATCCATGGGTGCATAGCGTAATTTTGAGCATTTGAAAAAAAGTGATCACAAACTTATTTATTAATGATCAAATCTACCAGAATTCCAATTAGACTGGTTTCTAAAGGAATTAAAGTGGCTGGCAGGAACAAAAGCATTTTAGGCATAGAACCATAGGTGAACTCTTTGGGCTCACTTCCATTGGATAAAATCACAGAAATAAAGCTTACAAGTGAGATTCTGCATTTAAGGTGGGCTGTCCAGTTATGCCTGCAAATCCCATCACTTAGATTGATTTCCCTCCCCTCTTTCCACATTGAAATGGTATATATATAGTGGATAGAAACTAGTAAAAATTCCCTGCAAATAAACTGCTCTTCAGCTGAGATTATGGCTCCTGTGCTTGGGGTGAGCAAAGGAACTTCTTTTACAAAGAAATGTAAAGAGTTCTCTTGAAAAATACTGAGCTCTCGCTTTAGGTTAATCTGATTGCATGTACAATTTTTTAAAGGTTAACTTTCAGTCAAGACATTGCTACAAATGGAAATTTCAGTATAAAAAGCAGCCAACTGAGTGCATTTTTAAATCTAATTGGCCCAAGTCCTTCAAAATAGTTAACTAGGTTAGACATTTCGTGGTGCCTCGCCATTTCTTGCCTACCTTACTTTGTTCATGTTTCAAACTGTGTCAGCAGGGCCCGAACTTCAGGAGTTAGCTGCTTAGCAGCCTTGGCTGCTTCTGTAATGGCCTTGCGGTAAAGACCTTTTCTCTTCTTATTAAATCGCGACTGAAAGTTTTCTAAAAAAGGGGAGAGCTGTGAAAGAGCAAGAAAAGATGTTGTTGGGGACCCAAACCATGAAATACGAGCTTCCTGTCGGACTAATAGGCCATTATCTTTTCGGCTCACAGTTATAGTAAGAATACGGGCCGGCCACCATGGGAAGCCATATATCTTGGCCCAAACAATGTCTCCTACACATATGGTCCTGCCATCTGGTGTGACACATTTAGAGACATTTTTTGAAAAGACTTTCAAAGAATTACTGAGCTTTTTCTCTTCCTTTAAAGAGGAGGAGAAGGAGGATGAGGAGGAGGAAGAAGGTGCATGCATGCTGCCTGGAGGAAAATCAAAGCTTTCAGTAGTGCTACACTCAGAATTGGAGGACTTCAAGTCATCTGTGCTATCACTACTACAGATTGATGCACTGGAAGAGTCAGATTTCTTTTGATTAAGGGTCATGTAAACTGTAATATTGCTTTTGCTGCCTCTCTTGCCCATGGTCTGCTGTTCATCCTGATCAACAGGTACATGCACTTCACTTGTGTCCTGAACCTCACTGTTGGCCTCTTCAGGACCTTCTGAGGGGCTCTGATTTTCTGAAGGGGCCTCACCTGCTGAGCGGGTAGACGAGCAGCGAGACTGGGGCTTAGCTGCCATCTTGCCACTCTGCAATTTCTCCAGCCCTGTCTTGAGAGAGGAGTCATTTTCTTCATTTCGGTACCTTTGTGGCTTCAGACGCAATCGGGGAGGCAGGGAACCTGAGCTGGTGTTCTGAAGACGCCGTGTGAAGTGGACCTTTGAATGTGCATTTTTGGAAGTTGAAGTTGCACTCTGTTTCTTTTGTGCCTTTTCTTTGGCTATTTTCAAAACTTCCCTAGCTTTTGCATGATCCATGTTTTTGCTCTGAAGAACCTTTTTAGTATTTAATTGGGTTTTTGATGTATTTGCTTGAGTGGGAACTTTGACTACTCTACTTCTGCTGTGGACAATACTTGCAACTTTGACCACAGAATTCTTTTTCTGGCTTTCATTCTGACTTTTCCCATCAACTTTATGATCAGTTTTAATTTTTTTATTCACAGTAGTTATGCTCTCATTTCTTCGTTTCCTAGTATCCTCACATCTTGAGGAGTCACTTGCATTGCTGCCCTTCTTAATTTCTTTCTTTTCTGCAACAATACTGTTCTTACATTTGTCACATAAGACATGTCTGGGTCGTAATTTGATAGCATTCATAATAGAAGTGGGTTCCTCCCTGTACAATTTTCGCTTGGGCCGCTTAATTTTTCGAGGTGGAGGTTGAGGTATTGATTGGTTATATGTGTCCCTGATAAACAAAGGAGGAGGATATGGCGCCCCCACATGGAAAAGGGGAGGCGGTTTGGAAGTCCATAGGCTTTTAACCAGGCTATGTTCTGATGGCTGGATGGGAGAAGAGTCTGGGACAACACCGTTAGCTTCGCGTGTCACTTGCATCTCATCTTGGAATGATTTACTTGGGAGCTGCATGGCTTCAGGTTTATCCTTGTACTCCCGTTTGGGAAATATAGTCACAGGAATTCCATGAGGTCCAAACCTTAACAAAGAGAGAAACACACAGTTAACTGCCAATCTCCATTTGCTATCTTTTAGAAGTTTATATGAGGAACATTTTGAATACCATAATATACTCAAATTTAAAGGGCATTTCATGGCTCAACTGCATCTTTATTACCAAACAAGGACTGTTCAACTGGCTTGAATGGCTTTAAAATATGATCATACATTTATATTCATCAATAGTTTAAATTTGATGTTCACATTTTTTTGACTTTATGATCTAAGGCAATAGTTTCTAAACTGTCAGTTCTGAAATATCTTTCCATTTGTCCAAACTCCATATAAATTGGAAGGGAAGTCAAATGGCAGAAGACTGGAACGGGGTGGGTGGGGAGGATGGTCCCTGCACAACATATGGATAGGCAAGTTCTCATTCAAACAAATTACTCTTCTAAGCACAAAATATCAGTTCACTAGATGGTTATGCAGTCCATATACAAAACTTAATACACAGGAGATTCTTTTTGGCTTGTATATACAAAATCTAATGACAACTCAAATATTTCTTTCCGTTCTATTTGGTAATAACGTAGATAACTGAAATTAATAATGAAAATGTAGTTGAACTGCATTGGCCTCATCTATTTTCAAACAATATAGTCAGTTCATGTAAAGAACACAAAAACATAATCATAAATGGTAACCATAACTGGTTTTCTCAACTGTACTTTACGAGCTTGAAATAACTTTGTTTTATAACTGAAGTGCTATTGATAGTAGCAGTATTTTATACCTATACTGGAGAATTATTTAACTGGCATAAAAATAATTTATAGAGTTTAAATTAAAGAGTATGGCTTAATAATTTAATAATAATAACTTAATAATCACTCAACATGATTTAAACAAGATCATTTGTTTCCTTATTATTATGCGGTTAATAATATTATCTACACAGGAGTTTCCAAAATGGCTGGAGATGGGACATAAAGAATTTCCATAGGATCTTTGTAATGACATAAACTTTCTGGAAAACTTAGCATTAACAAAACAGTGTTTTTCAAAACGGAAATCAAACAGACTGGGAACACCAGGCAAGCTGATGGGAAGAAGCGAAGTATTGATAATGGGAAAATTGGCAGCAAGTCACTTAAAAATTAAGAGGAATGGAGACCTGACATAAGTATACTTTGGAGCATGTGTGAAATTGTGGAGAGACAGATAAACTGAGGGTATTAACATATTAAAAGGGGAAGGTACTACTGATAGGTGGAATACATACTCCAGCATATGTTACAGTATAAGAGAGGTATAATGAGATGGCCAGGTGAGTCTGCCAATTGTTAAGATATTCCCAAGCTATTTATCTTATAATACCATTCCATTGATGGAACTATGACTTTAAATAATCAAATCACTTAATATTTATTGTTGTACTATCAATGTTTCACTTTAAGCATGGAAATTCTGCTATTCTTTTCATTTAGAACAATTAGTCATTATGACTGAATATATGTTCGTCCTACTTACAATCTCCCTTGCATCTTCCCTCTGCACCTAAGATAATTTCACAGAAATCATCTACTTAAGACCTAATTTTTGATTAGGAAACACTACATCTATAAATTCATTGTTTTCCCCTGTGAATCTTTACAAATGGTTGTCCAATCTTTTCTTGAAAACCTCCAGTGATAGTGCACCCACAAGTCAGGGAGCCAAGCTGTTTGACTGATTAATCATTTTCACTGTCAGAAAATTTCTTATTTCCTGACAGAATCTCCCTCTGATCAGCTTTTACCCATTGCTTCTTGTTCTGCCGTCAGGTGTGATGGAGACTAAATTGACACCCTCTTCCCTGTGACAATTCAAAAGTATTAGAAGATCACTATCATGTCTCCCCTGAGCCTTCTCTTCAAAGGCTAAACATATCTAGTTCCTTTAGCCATTCATCACATCATTTGGTCTCTAGGCCTCTTATCATCTTTGTTGTTGTTGCCTGCACTATTTCTACGGCCTCAGCATTTTTTTCTACTGTGTTCAAATTACCTATTATAGTGCAAATATTTTGGCAGCCTAGTCATAACTAGTAACTCCTTCAAAAAGTCTTACTAAACTTGCCATATTTTTTTCCATGTGAAAGTTCTACTGATTTGCAACATCTCAAAACCAATCAGTCAAATCCAGCATAGTCAGGGACAATGATATGATCCAAATTTAAAATATATACTGAACTCTTGAGCATAATCTAGATAATGCTAAGCACTTTTCAAGAACTAAAAGAATATGTATATTTAACTTTTTCATTGAAATCAAGGCTTAAGGCTTCATACTGCATCTATTATTCTAGCTAGTGTTAGATTAGATCAGCTGCGTTCTAACTAACTCACTAATTCGATGTCCTCACTTGACAATTGTGAGGAAATCTAATACTGGACTATATTTCATCTAACCAGCTCTTTTCAAGTCCATCAGACTATCACTCAGCTTTTCTATGATATCTATCAAGCGCATTATAGCCTATTAATTATTTTCATGAACTCCTGAGCTAGGGAAGTTAACATCTGAAAATGACATGCCAGGCCTTATTGGTTTTTAAATCGATACCAGGGGTGTCAAACTCACAGCCCACAGGCCGGATGCATCACACACTGGCCACGCCCATCCCTGGTTAATAAAAGAGGGGGAAAGTCATATGTCACGTGACGTGACGCCACGAGTTTGACACCCCTGATCTATACCAATGTACAGTACAATAGCTTATGAACAGCGAGCCCCAACTGCTGCCAATGTACATTTTCCAGCAGAATTCAATGCAACATATTATTATTAATTCCAGTATTTAAGATTCTTTCACAGAATTCAAGGCAGTTTAGCTTGCCATATTTGTTTTATGTACATGCAAACACTTCAAAAAATATGCAAACATAATTTCCCTTCCGCCAGGCTCTAACTGGTCTCCTCCTCCCTTTCATCTATTTGTATTGCTGCCATAATTCAAGACATACCTTTCTCTGCTTCTTTCCTACAACCACATTTAGGAGTGGCAGAGTAGCTGCTGTTTCATGGCTTGTAGTCAACCTGGTAAAATAACTATATGTCTCAACTCTGCTTGCTTAGGGCCAAATATTATCCTAATGTTGCCTGTGGCTACAAAAACTTTACTTTTATTTGCACTATAGACTTTATTTCACTTGATGTTTTTTAAAAAAGTGCTAGTCTCCAACATAGTATTTTTTAGTTTTAGCTACATCTCTGTTCCAGAGCAGGCCTTCTGGAGTAGCAGAGAGCCTCATGATGATGCAATTCTCTTAGTAAATGAATATTTTGTGACTGGTCATGCTACTACTGCCTTCCCTATTCTATTTTGTGAATCCAAGCTTTCTCTGTGCTCATCAGATCCTACAAAAGGATGCTTACATATTTCTTTGTATGATACTTTTATAGCACAATCCTGTAACTATTTGTATATGATTGCTTTAAAATATGGCAGTATAAAATTGTAAACACTCAGGAGAAAAAAAACATGCCTACTGCAGCTCAGGGACAGAAAAGTATTACTCCCAGCATTCCTCATCATCGAACCTCTTGGACCGCTAGAAGTGAAGGACAGCAATATCTGGACAGACAGGTATCATCTTAAGAGTATAATCTTCTACTGCATGAAATGTCTTCTTAATTGAAGGTTTATCCTGCCATTAAAATCTGATGTCCAGAATTAAATATCTGAAAATAAAAATTACTTATATAATGGTGTATTTAAAATTGGCTGGACATACATAATTAGGCTGGGTTGAATAATTCAGAAAGCATTTTCCATCTTAAGCTGATTTAAGAGAACTAAGCCATATGCAAAAGGCAAAGTGGGCAAAAAGTCTTTTACAAAAAGAGTGTCATAGCAGTCGTTTGATTATACTAGCCCTCATCATCATGGTAATAACATGCAAAAATTCTATAACCTGATATCCCTGAATGCATCTGCAGATACTCTTTGCTTTATAATCATTCGATTAACAAAGGGTCAAAGTTACAACATCACCAAAAAAAGGACTTATGACAATTTCACCCTGAAGGCATGTGATTATAATTTGGGAGTTTGTCAACCGGCTTGTATCTATGATGGTTGCAGTACCTTGCAGTCATATGATCAACGTCTGGAAGATATCATCTCAGAATCACTCTACCACATCTTTCAAAAATCCTGGAACACCAGGGGAACTACCAGAGGACTGAAAAAGACCTGATGTGGTTCCCATCTTTAAAAAAAAAGGGGGGGGGGGAACAGATCCAGGAAACTACAAAGCAATCAGCCTAATATCAATACCTGGGAAGATACTGGAAAGATGATTTAAAAAACAGACCTGCCAACATCTAGAGACCAGTAAAGTAATAACTAGCAGTCAGCATAGGTTTGTTAAAAATAGATCATGCCAAACCAATCTTATTTCATTCTTAAACATAGTGACTAAATTAGTAGATCCATGAAATACTGTGGACATAATATACTTAGACTTTAGCAAGGCATTCGACAATGTAGACCACAACCCACTTCTTGGTAAGCTGGAAAAAAATTGGGATAGTTAGCATCACCACTAGATGGATTCGTAACTGGCTGACAAACTGAACTCAATGAGTAGTCCTTAATGGGTCTACGTCTACATGGAGGGAAGTAAATAGTGAGGTACCACAAGGTTCCATCTCAGGCCCAGTAATTTTCAATATCTTTATAAATGACTTAGATGAGGGAATAGAAGGGGAACTTACAAAATTTGCGAATGATACTAAGCTGGCAGGAATAGCGAATACCCTAGATGATAGGCTTAAGATTCAGATGGATCTTGATAGACTAGAACACTGGGCTGTATCTAACAAAATGAAATTCAGTGTAGAGAAAAGTGAAGTCTTATACTTAAGCAAGAAAAAGCAAAAGTACACAATATAGACTGGGTGAAACCAAGCTTAATAGCAGTAACTGTGAGAGGGATCTTACAGTCTTAGTGGACAACTAGTTAAATGTGAGCCAGCAATGTGAGGCAGCAGCCAAAAAAGCCAATGCAATCCTAAATTGCATTAAAGAGGAATACAATCAAGATCAAGTGAGGTACTGAACCTCTATAAAGCCTTAGTAAGACCATCCTAGAAGACTGCATTCAGTTTTGGTTATCACACTATTAAAAAGATGTTGAGACTCTAGAAAATGTGCAGAGAAGAGCAAGAAGATTATTAGGGGACTGGAGGCTAAAACATATGGAACTGGGTTACAGGAACTGGGCATGGCTAGTCTAATGAAGAGAAGGGCCAGGGGAGGCATGATAGCAGTGTTCCAATATTGGAGGGGCTGCCATAGAGAGGAAGGGATCAAGCTATTTTCCAAGGCACCCAAAGGCCAGACAAGCAATAATGGATGGAAACTGATCAAGGAGATTCAACCTCTAGAAATAAGGAGAAATTTTCTGACAGTGAGAACAATCAACCAATGGAAAAGCTTGCCTTCAGAAGTTATGGGAGCTTCATCACTGGAGGTTTTCAAAAAGAGATTTGATTGCCATTTGACAGAAATGATGTAGGATGTCCTGCTTCGGCAGGGGTTACACTAGATGACCTATAAGGTCCCTTCCAACTGTTAATCTATTATATCTGTGGCCTTCCCAGTTGGCTTTCAACAAACAAATCCAGATTTACTAAACAACTGTATGACGTTATTAACAATCATAGTGAATCGCTTAAGAGGGGGTAAAAAAGGCTGTAAAACCAAGTCCAGTTATATGATGCCTTCTTTAATAACCACACTGCTTAGTGACTGAAATTCCAGTCTCAATTGTGGCTGTAGGTCAAAGACCAACTGTATAATTGTCAAAAATTGGGAACATAAATTTCTTATCAGTTTGAGGCAAGCAATGCATGAAACTTGCAGAGTTAGCTTAAGAATGAGAGCTTAATTTTTAGAAAAAAACCTTAAAACTTCTTACTCAAAACTCAGGAAATAATAAATCAGAAATCACAGATACATGCCACATGGTTCTGCCCATTCGTTTGCCAAGCATACTGCAGCTCCAGCTATCAAATAATTGCTTATCTTTTCATTATAATACATTTATAATGTGTAACACATTTCGAACACAAATTCTTCGCTATGACTTCCACACAAAGAAGTTTACTTACAACAGACTGTTTTTTAAAAATTATTCTAACCAGCTCAATGGACAAAAAAGAAAAGGTAATTAAAACCTACTTGTTCTAAATGATATCATCACTATTGAAATGTAAAGTGGTATGGAGTCATTTTTACTATGAATTTCAATAAGACAAGATCATTTTATAAACCACATGGTGTTGGGCCAAGGATTTTCAAACTTGGCAAGTTTAAGACTTGAGGACTTCAACTCCCAGAATTCCTGAGCTAACATTACTGTAGGAGGAATTCTGGGAATTGAAGTCTATAACTGTCAGTTGGAAGACCCCTGTGTTAGGCGCAGTGTCTTCAAATTCCAAAGAATCTTTACCTACCATGAGCAAGTCTATATCTTAGCCTTGTAAGATGATGCCCTATAACAGTGTCTGTTACAATTGCATCAACTATGTTATTGATTTGTAAGAAAACATGAACTTCATGAAAACGTTAAACCTTGGTCATGTTTTATTATAAAACTGTATAGAACTGCAAAGCTATCTTAACTATTTCCAGATTTAACTGGCACCTAGCAACTAAAAACACCAACCCACAAATACTTCTCTTAGCATCAGCAATTTCTCTGTACCATTTTAAGATTCTTTCATGTTAAATAGTTGTGCACTACACAGCAAAATACTAACATGCAGCATGATGTTTATTTCTAAGAATACTGCATTCACTACTTCGTTTTCAAATAAGTGCACAAAATAAGAAAACAAAAATGAATAGCAATATTTCTAGGTTGCATTTTGCGAATGGATGTTTTGTGCTTTACTTTGAAGCTACAACATGCTTCAAATTTGTCAACCAGATTAAAAGATATATGCCTGTTCTTTTCTTTTCCTATCCTCTTTCTCCAGTATGTGTATGCGTGTGTGTATATCCATCCATCCACTATATAACAGCTGAAAAAGCATTACTGTGAAGTACTGAAATAAATGAAACAGTAACATCTCCTACTTATGCCTGTATCAAATGGCTTATCAACTATGCAAGAGAAGAGGCAAAGTTTCCCATTCTTTGTTAAAGAAGAATGTTAATGATAGCTCTAGAAACATCAGAGCATAGACAAGCTACTAATACAAGCATTGTTTAGGAGTATGCAGTATACATGCTTGATATGTGAAACAACTTGCTGTTTTAATTTTTTTATCTTATGGGGTTGAATTTCACTTTATCCAGCAAAGAGCACTGATGTTACTGTTTTCCAACCCTATTTCAGTTCTGCATAGTTCGAATATCATACCTGCAAAAAAAAAAAAAAGGTAAGACACTTTACTAGATCTATTAAGGCTATATATCAAGGAAAAAAACACAAGGACATTAGGTCTTAGACTGCTGTGGATAATGTCAGACTATCCTTTCCACTAGCACCAATGGGCTGACAGACCTGAGAATTTGAAAGCCAGCATATGTGGTATATTTGTCACAGAAAACATATGGCAATATCAATGGCAATACATGATCAATTCTATATACCTTGTGGACCTTTAAATACCTTGTGGACTATGAAGATGTGCATACTGGAAATTCATTATACCACTCTCTCAAATATTATAAGAACCAGCCTTCCTATAGCTGCCTCTGTGGCATAATTATAATACAATTACATTTTATAATCTTACTATACACTCTGAAGGAGTTAGAAACTGCATTACCTATATTTGTTTATAAGTAAGGCAGTAAGAATGGTCATACACTATCAAAAATTCTATAAGTCCATCAGGCAATTTTAGTATGTACCAGAAATTTGGTAGTTAGATTAAATATGTAAGCAATGCACCCTAGTGTGATTACATGTCATCAAGTCAGTGTCGACTCTTAGCAACCACATAAACAATCTTCTCCAGGATGATGTGTCCCCAATCTGGTTATTAAGGACTCCCAAGGGTACACCTATTACCGGTGTAATTGAAACCATCCACCTTGTTATCCTCTTAACCATTGTGTTAATTTGCAGTATTACAATTTTAAAAGGCTACTGGCCCCAATAGCTTTATCTTTTTCAATTGCCAAAGTTCCTCCTTCCATTTTTTAAAGTTTCAGGCTTCCCAGCCCTTTTGTATCTCACAAGGCTCCATTTACATGTATTTTTAAGTGGCAACGCAATGAAGTATACAATGTTCCTGGAAATACTTAACCCACAAGAATGAATTTAAAAATGTAGGACTTTATGATACAGACAGTATTCATCTTCCTCTTCAGAATGGAAAGATACGTGGGCCCAAGTTCTCAGAAATCCTGCTAGATGACCTGGGTTATTTTAGACAAAATTTAAAGCTACAATCTTTTGTTGTTTCTTTGTAAACAAGGGAAGCAGCTCAGCTTTACTACATAGGAATGCATTTCCTTAATCAAGTATACTGTGGAAAAGACAAAAAAAGATTGCTTCCTTCAGTGCCATGTATTTTCTTTACACAATTGAGTGTGCATGTAAAAATGAGAAATCTTTTCCAAAGTAAGCTTTAATGTCGATACTGGGATTGTTTACAAATATACCTTTTACCTGATGAACTCAATTAAAGGGTGTGTCACAGCATGCTCTGGTGCAAGTTCCTCAAAACCAGAAAAATTAAGGCTTGTGCCAGAACAAGTTGCTTTGTAATATACAAATAAGTGCAGTTTTCATTCTGCCTGCAAGAAAGAAAGCTATATACGCAGCAGCTTTCAAATATGTATTACCTGCATCAGAAGACATTCTATCATTTTCCCCCATAGTAGCAACTGATCATTTCTGCACTTCTATAAAGCTAGGAAGGAAGAACCAAATGAAGGAATGCTAAAATATCTATAGCAATAAGGTAACTTTTTTTTTTTTTGGCCACAGCCACAACATTGCCAGTATCCTCTTCAAGCTCGAGAGACATGGGGAAAATTGTACAGCCAACTCCTTGTGGGATGGATAGCAACCCTCACAGACCACTTCTTCGCTTAAAAATAAAAACCAAAGATGGGAGTGAATGAACCTTAAGCCAAAACGAAGGACGAAAAGGCAAGCAGTCGTCATTGAGGTGGGAAAGGGAAGGGGGATGGATGACTTTCCTGGCTCGGGGTTTAGGCCACGAGGCTCACTAAAAGGCCACTCGCGCCCCCTTGGTGGAGCCATAAAGCCTTGCACCTCATGGCTCGCCCCACCTTCCTGTGCAAGACGCCCAGGAGGCGATCGAGGCCTCGACTCGGCGGAGATTATTAGGGGAGGGAAGGCGGCAGCGGCAGGTTATAGAGGAGGTCCAAAGCCACTCCGGGCAGCGCCCGATGCGTCTCCTTTCAATAACCCCGGAGGTCCGGTGGGAGAGGGAGGCTTAGAGCGGTCAGGGCGCGGCCGATCAGGCTCGCTCACCTTTTGGAGAGATCCATGAGGACTCCGGAGAAGAGCTTCTCCCCGAACCGGAACGACACCACCAGCGCATCCTCGATGATGTGATCCAGGGTGACCAGCACCTCTGAGCCCGGCAGCAACAGCGCCTCCTCCTCCTCCCCCGCTGCACCGGCAACCCCCGGCTCCGCAGCCCCCGAAAGCTCCGGTTGCTTTGCAACGCTTGCCGTGGTACTGGCGGCGGCAGCATCCGGCTCCTCCTCCTCCGGCCGGGGCGGCTCCTCCCTGGGCTCCGGCCCCGCGGGGCCCCCAGCTGCAAGTAGCAGCGGAGGTAACAGCGGCAAGCCCGGTTGCGGAGGCTGCTCGCCTGCCTCTTCCTTTTCAGAATGACCGGAGAGCGTGGCCGTCAGCGAGCGAGGCTGAAGAGGCTCTCCCACGGGGCCCGGGTTGGGCTGGGCCTGCGGCAGGTCTCGGGTCCCCGCTGGGCTCTTGGGCGGCGGCGGCTGTTGAGCCTCTCCGCCCGGAGTTGGCTCGGGATCCTCCCTGGCAGCGTCGAGCACCGCCGACTCCACGGCAGCCTGCGTGCCGGCGGGGAGCGCGTCTGCGCCGGCTTCGCTGCCTGGCATGGGCTCGACCTCGCCAGCTCCCCCATCACCCGGCACCGCCGCAGTCGCAGCCACGGCCGCCATTTTCTCTGGTGTCGCTTCCTCCTCCCTCTACCAGCAGCAGGATCGATAACCGTGGCCTTCTTCCCCCGCCTGGTTAGGAGGGGGACGCCGCCTATCGGGGGAGGCAGGGATCTTGCCGATTCCCCAGCTCCTATTGGGTCCGGCACAGATCCATCAAGCGCAGATGTAACTTCCCATTGGCCCGGGGAGGAAACGTTGACGTTGAGGGCAGGAAGAGGAAAAAAGAGGGCGGAGATCCCGGTATCTGTGTCGACAAAGATCAAAAGGGGGCAGGTTAATGAGCAGCTCTTCTTCTATTTGTGGGGGGGAGGAGAAAAGCCCGCCCCTCTCGCGGAAGCGCCTCATTGGCTTGTCAAGACGTCTAGTGAAATGTAGGTTTTAAAGCAAGCTAGAAAGTGGTTATCTTTAGCACCACCACCCCTCCCGAGGCTGTCCCGTAGGATGGTCGTGTGAAGGAGGTGGGGAGAACGCAAGGACGGATTCTCTTCCCCCCCACATCCAAATCTCTGCGCTCGCTTGATAACCGTGCTTGGGACGGCCAGTCCAATTTCCAGGGTGGGAGAGAACTCGAACCTATACTGTGGCTTCTCGAACCAACGAAACACATGGAAATTGCCCTGCTTAGCGTTAACCAAGCCAGCCCTAGAAGCCCAGAGAAGGGGATTGAGGGCGGGGAGAGAAAAGCATAACACGGCCCATAGGCCGTCTTGGAAAAAGAGAAGGTGGGACCCGGGATATTGATGGAAAACGCTACACCCGGATTTGGGAATGCTCAATTGAATGGAAGAGTTCGCCTTTTGAGGGAGCCCTTGGGATGCGACTAAAATGTTTCGCTGTCGCTGCACATGATCAGAAATCTTTCTGCTTTAATTTTTGAAGAAATGAGATAGTGTTATTACAATACGATGGATTAGCATCAGCTGTGGCTTCTTCCTTTCAGAATATATTCAGTGTTAAGAACATGGTCTCCAGGTTATTTTAGGAACTATTTCTACGACATCGTTTTCCTAGAGTTAATGAACATGCTGTAGTCAACACAGTGTTCATGGCTTATGTAGTACAATAAACTACGTGTTATCTTAGTCTAGCTTCTCACATGCTGAACTAAAGCATGTCTCTGGCACAAACCCAACTGGAAAGTACAACACACACACACACTTGAAGAAAATGCTATAAGCCTCACTGGGCCTATTACAAAGAAGTAAACACCAGTCCACTTTATCAGATCAGGTTATGCTAACCCAGCATACCAGCTGCTCAGTCCTTGCATAACTCATAAAAACATTTCTCCATTAATCCTACTGCACTATATTCTTCATCTTGTTTCAAGAGACAGTAATCTCATAGTTACAATAAAATCTTAAAAATCATTTTTAAAGTATCTTAAATCATTGTAAAATTTCAAGAATCAGTTGACTACACCATTTAATACAATGTGTGAATAATGATTTGCTTTACACTGCAAGATGAACTTCTTCAAACATCTTTTTTGTTTGAATTTCAAATTGACATGTCTTATAATGAGCTGGTTTTGATTCAGTCTCAAAAACATATTTCCAGAAAGGATGGCAAAAAAATCAGGAGTCTGATAGCATTTTTCTAGAGAACATAATTAGATTAATAGTGTTGGACATTGCAGGTCATCTATCTATACCATTTCTGACAGTTGGCAGTCCAGTCTCTTCTTGAAAGCTTCCAGTGATGGAACTCCCACAACTTCTGAAGGCAAGCTGTTTCATTGGCTCTCACTATCAGGAAAATTCTCCTTATTTCCAGGTTGAACCACTCCTTGTTCAGTTTCCATCCATTATTCCTTGTCTGGTCTTCAGGTGCTTTGGAAATTAACTTGACCCCCTCATCTCTGTAGCAGCTGCTCACATATTAGAACACTGCTATCATGTCTCCCCTGGTCCTTCTCTTCACTAGACTAGCCATGCCCAGTTCCTGCAACTGTTCATTGTATGTTTTAGCCTCCAGTCCTCTAATCATCTTGGTTGCTCTTCTCTGCACTCTTTCTAGAGTCTCAACATTTTTTAATAGTGTGGTAACCAAAACTGGATGCACTACTCTAGGTATGGTCTTACTAAGGTTTTATAGAGTGGTATTAGTACTTCTCTTGACCTTGACTGTATCCCACTGTTAATGCCATTTAGGATTGCATTGGCTTTTTTGGCTGCCACCGCACACTGTTGGCTCATATTTAATTGGTTGTCCACTAAGACTCCAAGATCCCGTACTGCTATTAAGCCTGGCTTCACCCAGTCTATATGTGTACTTTTGCTTTTTCTTACCTAAGTGTAAGACTTTATTTTTCTCTACACTGAATTTCATTTTGTTAGATAGGGCCCACTGTTCAAGTCTGTCAAGATCCATCTGGATCTTAAGTCTGTCTTCTAGGATATTAGCTATTCCTCCCAGTTTAGTGTCATCTACAAAATTTGTAAGTTCCCCTTCTATTCCCTCCTCTAAATCATTTATGAAGATATTGAAGAGTACTAGGCCTAGGACAGAACCTTGTGGTACCCCACAAGCAGAGGTGGTATTCAGCAGGTTCTGACCAGTTCTGGAGAACCAGTAGCGGAAATTTTGAGTAGTTCGGGGAACCGGCAAATACCACCTCTGACTGGAGATTTTACAATATCCTTCCCCTGCCACGCCCACAGAACCGGTAGTAAAAAAAAATTTGAATCCCACCACTGCCCACAAGGGTACCTTTCCATTGAGTTGGAAAGGTGTTGTCTAGATCCACCCCTTTTTTTGCCATTATAGAATAACATGGCTGTCCTACAATGTTAGAAGGCCTAGAGAATTACTGTTTAAAAACAAATGGAAAAAATGGAATGTGTGGAATCATTTGCACACTTCGTTGGATCCTGATTGTAGTGTATCAGATGTACTATATAACTTCTCATCCTGCGAGAGAGCTGTGTCAGTTTGCAGCTACCTTTTTTCACATAAACTTTTTAAAATCAAAATGTATAATATAAGGAATGTTTGGGATTCAAATAAGCACATTGAGTCAGATACTAAGTCCCATTTAGTTCAGTGTGTTTTAAAGAGTAGGATTGTACAGTAGCCCTCCTACTCGGAAAAACCTTGAGTAAGGATATTTGGATTTGTATGCAAACTTGGTCAGAACTAATAGAGGTACTGAGCCAAACAAAAATTCAGAATAACAGAATAGCAGAGTTGGAAGAGACGTTGGAAGTCTTCTAGTGAATCCCTGCTCAGGAAGGAAAGCCTATATAATTTCAGACAAAGGATTGCTCAATTTCTTCTTAAAAACCTCCAGTGTTGTGTGAGAGAGGGCCCATAACAAAAACTCAATCCTCTCATTATATATAAATGAGAGGATTGAGCAGCAAATGCTGAGAATATCTTTTAATTCAGCCATTGAATACAGGTATTATATCTGGGTTTACAGATCAATGGGAGGGAGTCAAACTCTTTTCATTGCCACAGAGTCAGCAAATGAAAAGAATTGATTCTGCCTCAATCATGATGTAAAGTATCTTATTCGCAATATAATTTAAAATTTTGGAAAGCTGGAAAGAGGTATGGTTTACAAAATAAGGGATTTTGTTAGTTTTAGGAGGGCCTAAGTCAGTCAAACTCCGGCCCATGGGGTGCTTTGATCCAGCCTGAGCGGCCAGCCTGGAAACAGCAAAGGGACCGGCCAACAGTGCCTCTACCAACAAAAATGGAGCACAGCGGGCTGTACACGCCTCCCCCCCATGCTCCATTTTCAGCTGTGACGGCCTCCTTCACCTCTCTGCCAGCGAAAACCTGCCCCATGTAAACCCACAATCTCCATAGCTGGGTAGGGGCATGACTCTAGCTCTCCAATAGCCCACCTCCAACCATCTTCTCTCTGTCTTTATTATACTATGACTTTTTGCTGTTATGGGAGGTTCTGCATTCTTAGCAATGACAGCAGTTGATTGAGCTTGTCTGGGCTGGGGAGCTAAACAGTGTCTGATTAGATTAGAACTGGATAAGAAACTATTGGGGGATTGCTGGGTAGTAGACTGTTGCTGGGGCTGTTGACTGACTTTACACCAAAGTAATTTGTGTGAATATAACATAAATAATTTGCAACAGCTTTAAAGAGTAATTTACTCCCTGTACAATGAACTCCCTGTACGCTTTCCTGCTCCTATTTTCCCCACAACAGCAACCTGCTGCATAACTCAAGAAGAATATTTCTGTCAGTCGGTGCTCCATTCAAAATCCAAGAAAGAAATACTTAGACTCCATAAATTAGAGAAAATAATTCTTTTACTGAGAAATGAAGTGGTAGCATCAAATAGGATTCTGAATCTGAGAATTTAGGCGCGCAGATCACATATACAAAGTGATGAAGTTGTTCCCACCCCCCATAGTTCAAAGGATTCTTCCAATTAAAAGTTCTGAATATGATCATGTGGACATCTTCAGGTGGTGATGAGGCCTCTGTCCGTTGACCTTGGCATATTTTGATAAAGGTTTGCAGCTGCGCAGAGAAAAGAAAGCTAAGCAAGAAATAGAAACCTAAAAGCAGGAATTTATACTCCCCCCCCCCACTCCTCATTTACACAACACAAGAATGTAACACCTCCAGCTCTCTTCCCAGACCATATCCCCTCTCCTCCCCACGTTACTTATGGCAGCCAAAAGATGCAAGGCAGTAGGAAAGATGCAAAGCAGTAGATCTTGAAGGCTGACAATTTCTTTATTCCTGAATGATTTATGGTGGGCACACTTACACAATACCATAATGTGGCATTACATAATTGGAGCCCCCTTTTCAGAGGATGTTTTCTCTGTATGCCAATCGTGCAACCATAATGTTTGATATTTCCTCAAAGGTTAATTTGAATCATGCAAGGTGCAATGATAAATGAATGCCACCCTCTTGTCTCTGAGCTTATCTTGCACACATTGGTTGGTAAGCACTTGGTCTAATGCAAATTATCTCTGAATGTTTGTAAATGTACCTAGATGTGTCTCAGCCCCATTAAGATGGAAATAAGGTTGTCAACTTTTCAGTCAGCCTTTATTAACAAAGTAGTTAAGTATCTCTGTGTTTTCATCTGTTGAATGCTTGAAAGGATTTTCACCCAAGTAAAATTTGTTGAAAAGTAGAATACTCCTTAAATTAAGGAGGCAGCAGTGAATATATTTAGGAAGTTGTTATTCACTAGGAATATGGAGATCCAGGTTCGGCTCTGTTCTTAGCTTGATGGAACTTATATAGTGACTTGGTTTTGGGGGGAACATTGAAAGGAGTGGTGTGTAGATCGCCTTGTAATCCTGAATGAAAGGTGTGATATAAATATATTTAAAAAAATTAAAAACATGAATGGACCACAGTTGGCTAGGTTTATACATG